ATTAAAACAAATCTATCCTTTAAAACAAGGCAAAACCAAAAGAAGTACATGTTTTAATGAGCCAAATTCCCCATTCACTGGCAGTAATCAGGATTAACTGTCAAGAGCCTCGATATTTTGGTGTTTAACATTCATGTTACAAATGGGAGAGTTCTGGGTCTAAAAAACTCATTCACCAGCACAAGATGAAACCTTTGCAAGACAAATTTACAAAAAAAGAAAGCCATGATTTAAAAAAAAAAAAAAAAACCTCTCACAGTACAACTAATATTTCTGTAGCATCTGGCATCGAGAGAGAGAGAGAGAGAGAGAGAGAGAGAGAGAGAGAGAGAGAGAGAGAGAGAGTTTCCCTTGCAATGGGGGGAAAATTTAGGAACAGTCTACAGGTTTTTATTTTAAGAGACAACCCCTCAAAAGGTAAGAAAATCTCATTAAACAGAAAGTTGTTGTTTTATTAATGAGAACGCAGTTTCAAACATGTTTGTACCCGAGGACTTGGTTTACCTGGCATGGAATTCAGTGGCAGAGCACTGGCCCTCGAGTACATGGGGCCCAGCACAAAAACCAAAAGCCAGCTTCACAGTGTTGTTATAAAATAGTGTGACCAGTTGCCCAACCCAGGTATAAGTGTATTTCCAGATTTTGATTCATACCACTGAGGTGTTAACAGGAAATGCCAAAGTAAAGCAGAAGAGGAAAGGAAGAATTATTTAGTATTAGTAAAGTGCTGGAGATTTTGGAGTGAAGTATAAACAACCTAGACTGATGAGGATGAGAGATAACAGTAAGATGCCTGTCTCTAATAAAACAGACTATAAAAAGGACATACAGTAATCACTGTCTACAGGCTCCTGAGTGCATCAAGAACAAACATGGGTTCTTTCCACTGCTCTGACAACACAGCTGCTAAACTCATCCCTGTCAGGTGAGTCTGATAGACAGTCTGTCATTGTGCTCGCTGTCCTCAGCATGGGTTAGGATTTGCCGTTTTTCTCATTCGCTTGTTCTTCTCACCATATGTAATTCTTTTAAGCTGATATAATTCAGGTTTTAACAGCCCTATGATAGAGAAGTTTTGAGATAACAGGCACCGACAATTTCATCTTCAGACCTAAACACCTGCCTGTGAATCTGTGGTAAATGTATCAGATTCATAAAGGCTTACTTTGAATAAGTTTTTAAAAATCCACTTTGTCTTCATTTACAGATTTTGTGAAGGTACAATGTATAATTAAGGGGGACATAAAATTAAGACAATGGTTTGTAAACTATATAAAGTATGATATGGATGCCTGTTGGGAAGGTGGTGATAATTTTATCAAAGATTTTTTTTCTCATCTCATCAGATGAAAGTTCCTTTAACATCCTAAATTCACTGTGTCAGACTTAATAATAACTTAATAGTTATCAAAATCCCTTCCACTAACATGCAGATTATGAGCTTAGTTAATAGTCACCTAAAGACAATTAGAAATTAGTTTTGGTCTACTGTTTTATCAGATAAATGTGTAATAGTGATAGAATATTTTGTTGACTATAACTTAAGGGACATCTAATAAGATACTGTTGGAGTATGTATCTTTCCCTAAATATTTGTTAATTGGGCTCCTTCTTATGCCAATATTCACCCTACTCTTTAAAATGGATTTCTCTTAATAGACAGCTGTTACTTTCTTCAATTTCTATTTTCACTTATACACTACATTCAGACTTAACCTTATAGTACACTACTAAAACTATAAGAAAATAGAATACTGAAAAGAGACATATAAAGCAAATCTTGGTATGTCTAGTTTTAAATAAGCATGTATATATACACACAGAGAGAAATATATACATATGTAAGATTTATATACACATATATAAATCATATGTATTTATGGACCCCCACAATTTCTAAACTTCATATACAAGCCTCTCATTTCTCAAACCAATGTCCCTGTTGTAATTGGAAGAATCCACATATTTTCATATTTTAAAACATTAGAGAATTTATGGTTTCCTACTCATGATAACGTCAGACTGATGAAAAGCTCTCTCTCTCTCTCTCTCTCTCTCTCTCTCTCTCTCTCCCCTTTCTCTTTTTTAAGACAGGGTTTCTCTGTGTAGTTCTGGCTGTCCTGGAACTCACTTTGTAGACTAATTTGAGGCTGGCCTCAAATTCAGAGAGCCTCCTGTCTCTGCCTCCCAAGTGCTGGGATTAATGGCGTGCGCCACTAAACCTGACTTGAAAAGCTATTTAAAAATAATCAGTATACACTTTCCATGACATAATTAATGACTTAAAAGCAAGAAATGCCATTACATTTGGGTTGTCTTTCATTTTATAAACATGACACTAAAAAAAATTGTGTGAGATGCATTGAGACTAGCCTTCTTCTTACCCGCCCCCCAAAGAAATACATAGGATATTCAAATCAGCTTAAAAGAATAAGTTCTGAAACCTTTCTCTAAATAAACATAATAAAATTGGGTTGACAAAAGAAACAAAAAAGCCAGGCATATGTTACACACCTTTAATCCCAGCACTCAGGAGGCAGAGGCAGGCAGATCTGTGAGTTCAAGGCCAGCCTGGTCTACAATAATGAGTCTCAGGACAGTCAGGACTATGTAGAAAGACCCTGTCTCAAAATACAAAACAAAAAAATAAACAAAAAAGGGTTGGATCACTTTTAATTCTGACAGCACTATAGTTAACAAAGTTACCTTTACTGGCTAGAAAACCCCTTTAAGTTATGAAAAGGAAAACAGAGCATGATAATTTTTATAGATTCAGATATCCCACTTTATTTATGCATTTATGTATTTATTCATTCATTAAGCAGTAATAGGGACTGAATGTAGGGTCTTGAGTATGATAGGTAACAGGCCTGGATTCCCAGTCTATTTTGTTTGGCACAGACTTTGTTTTGTGAAACAAGGTCTCATTGTATATCCCAGGCTAGCTTCCAACTTGCTTTTTTTTTTTCCCCCAGCCTCAGGTTCCCAAGTTCTGGTATTACCGTAGATAGCACACAGGTTTCACTGCTAAATACAAAGTTGAGTCAGGCTGATGGCTATCTAAAGGGGGAAAAGTATCTTCATTATATGAAGATAAAAAGTCCAAACAACTGGAGCTGGAGAGATGGCTCAGTGACTAAGAATGTGGGCTGCTCTTGCAGAAGACCCAAGTTCCACACAGGACAGCTCACAACCACCTATAACTCCAGTTCCAAGGGAACTGATGTTCTCTTCTGGCCTCCATGAGCACTTGCACATATCCTGCCCAAATCCCTCTCCCCCAATTAAAAAAAAAAACATTAAATCTAAAAACAATGGTTCAACTATTCTTCCATGGTTTAATGAACAGAAAACCAAAGGCATTTAGTACTAACGTGATTCCACCTTAGCAAAAAAGATGCTACATATGTCTCTCACTGTGGGGTCAAATTATGTTCTTAACTCAAGTGGATGGAAACTAGCTAGGTTTCTATGAGATACAGACTGTGGATATTCAGGTACCATACTTCCCAACTGGACATAACATTTGTGTACTATGATGAGATCTGAACAAATGAAGATTAAATGTGGAGAGTAAAGAAGATACTTTAAAATTTGTTTTTGATTAAAGATAACTCATACTGAAAGATTTTAAAGCTTAAAATATGGTTACTATTAGAATAGATCAATGCTTATATGAGAGCAAGAGATTCTATAAAAGAACTATATACATTTTTTTCTTTGAAGACAGAATCTCATGTAGCCCAAACTGGCCTCACACTCTCTACAGGTATAAACATCCAGCTTCAATTATGCTAGAGATTGAATCCAGTACTTTAAGTATATTAAGCAAGTACTATACCAACTAAGCTACATCTTAGTCCTCAAAAACAGTTCCCCTTTACTTAAAAAGACTAAAAGAACTTCTGTTGAAAAGGTGGGTAAAATTGCTCACTGAGCACATCTTTCTTTTCATTAAGACCTAACTTGTCTTAGACTTAATCCCTCACTTTCATATATTTGTATAGCATGAGTCTGTAACAACTAATGAAATTAGATTGGTAGTTTTGACTGATAACATTTTTTAGCTTGACTTGTCAGGCAGTGGTGTAGACGCCTTTAATCCCAGCACTCAGGAGGCAGAGGTAGGTGGATCTCTGAGTTTGAGGCCAGCCTGGTCTATATAGTGAGTTCCAGGACAGCAGGGGCTACAAAGAGAAACCCTGTCTCAAAAAACAAAACAAAACATAACCATTTATCTTGACTTTGTACAACTGGGCTCTAATTATATTAACTGAACTACTTCCAAGAAAATTGAACAATATTACCCATATTATAATATAATCATCACATTAAGCTAATTTTACATGGGTAACAAAAAATAATTCAATCCTGATCAAGTTTGAATATGAATCAATTATTTAGGGACTTATTTTTATTATTGTTAGGTAATTAAACAAAAGAAAACTATGACCCAATTTAAATTTTCTTTTTAGAGCTGGGTGGTGGTGGCATACACCTTCAATCCCAGCACTCAAGAGGTAGAGGCAGGCGGGTCTCTTGTGAGTTTGAGGCCAGCCTGTTCTACAGAGTGGGTTCCAGGACAACCAAGGGTACATAGAGAAACCCTGTCTCGAAAACCCTTTTTCTTTTCATAGATTTGCTTTATGTGTATGAGGTTTTGCCTGCATGCAGGCATGTACACACATATGTGCCTGTGGAGGTCAGAAGATGGTGTAAGATTCCCTGGAACTAGAGGCAGAGATGGCTGGTTATGAGCTTCTGTGTCAACTGTGGGAACTGAACTAGTGTTCTCTGGAAGAACAATAATTGCTCTTAAATGCTGAGTCAATTCTTCAGCCCCAGTTTTTAAAAATTATTTTAAGGTATGTGCAAGTATATTAGTTATTTTCATTTCAGATGCAATAAACTATTATATTTACTGGGTTGTTTTCCCATTTTAATCTTAAATGTGTAATGTGGAACATACATGGTCATTGTTTTTAGTAGTTTGCTTTTGCTTTTTTTTTTTTTTTTTTTGGTAAACCCTGGTTAGACCACATAGAAAATAAGCTGGTCAGAAGCTAGTGACGGCTTCTCTCAACCTGACACAATGACACTGTCCCACTGTCCTCATTCTCTTGCTAATGCCAGGGAAAGCTACACTGAATAAGCCTAGGAGGTTTCAGGAAAGGATCATAAAAGAGTATGAAGACACAGCCCAGCATTACTGATCTCTTAATTTCCAGGGAGACCACACATCATCATCAGAGTACCTGAAACATTCCTGATCACTACAGGAGAAACTGTAATCCCCTAAATCCTGACCTAAACCACACAATGGAAAAGCTGCCACTGCTATATTTAGGTTCATTCCTGGTTTTATGATGCCTAAAGTATATGTTCTGATGCTGTTTCTTACGGAAAGCATGCTTTATTTTATTTTGAAATACCATGAGATATTTCCTCCATTTACTGAATGAATCCACCAAACATTAAAGATACAGCAAACAACAGTGAAAGTTATAAACACTGAAATTAGCACACAGCAGATGCTGAAGAAAATCAGAAGCTAAACTTCCTTCTAAAAGCTTGAGGCATTTCCAAAACACCTAGAGAAAGTGTCTGGGTAGGTGGGTGTGCACAGAGAGGGCAGATAAATAGAAAATGAAAATCAAAACATTGAGATGTTTTACTTCATAGGTAAAATCTAATTGAAGAGTAGCTTCCAGAGTGTCTTGTTTTCACATTCACTTTATTCTACAAATAGAACTTCTCAACAATCAATATTTTATTACGAGTGGGGATCATAGACTAATTTGTTTTAAAAAATGCTTGAACCTTAAATATTCTGTGATCTAAAGGTGAAGTTAGAACTACTTTAAGCTGTGTGAGATTGGAGGTAAGAGAACAATCTTTGGGAGTAGCTTGTTCCCTTATCATCTGGGCCCCAGGAATCTCATGAGCTGAGGTCGTCAGGCTTGGCATTGGCAGCAAGTACTCTTCCAGCTGAGCCATTTTGCTGGCCTCAATTTTAAATTTTTATTTTCAAACTTGATATATCATGTAGGTGTGGTGGCACACACCATAATCTAAGCCTCTTGGAAGGCAGAGGCAGGAGGATGGTTCTGAGTCAAAGGATTTGAGGCAACTCTGGGTAACATACCTAGATTGTCTTGAAATAAAAACAAAAGCAGAACTGAAAGATCAGGTTTGTTTGCCCTGAAACCCCACAGTGCACTGTCCTCACACAGCTCTCTCCATTATTTCTAAACTCTTACCGCTTTATGGTCTTGCTAGGCCAATGCCTCATACGATGCTTAGACATTTGCATGAATAGTTTGTAAAGAAATGTTGCACAATGCGTGATGTCATTTCTCTATGTTCTAATACCTTTCTTCAACAATGGTTTCTCAAGAAAAACAAAAACATTCTAAAAGCTGAGTATGGTGGTTCATGCCTATAATCCAAGAGGATCATATGCTCAAGGCAGGCTGGGTTACATAAAGACTTTGTCTGACAAACACAAAACAAAACATACAGGACAAATTTCTAGGTCCACTTTCTTATAAAAGAGGAGGGAGTTAAAATGAAGCACTTGTATATAGTTTCTGAAAGTTCTTAATCACATCAAACTTGAATTAAAGTTATTTGTTTTGTATACAGAACTAAATAATACCAGCACTTCCAAATAGCAAGTATATAAATAAACATCTTCTACTTAGATGACTTACCTAAAAACAAAATAACCTTCTGAACTAATTTCAAATTTATTTTTTTTTTATGAAAAATGTGGTTTGGAACAAGAAAAAGGCTGGAGAAAACCTTAAATATAATTTGGGATCAAATACATAAATCAATATGGAAAAAGACAAAAGGTATGTCATTTTCAAATAAATGATAGTTTAAAATTATATAATACCTTATATAGACAAAGTGCTTCACAGTGATTGCTTAACAGGCATTCATCTATGTAAATAAATGTGGCATACAATGTAAGCAATTTGAACAGTCAAATATCCAAGAAAAATCTCTCCAGTTACCAATTCCTGGACATGTAGGGAGAGTTAAGAAACACTGTAAATAGATCTGTCATAACATTACACACAGAAAGGCATGTACTGATCTTAACGAATGTTATTAAGACATTAGCTATAAAGATTAATTGAGAAAAGGAAAGGCTCACAGAATATATAAAACATATGAGGCATAAGTTAAAGAACTACCCCCAAAGATAAGGCTACCTATATGAAAAATAAATCTTTTACATGTGGAGAGCAATTAAAAGTGCGTGGCTAGAATCTGATTCTTCTAACTACTAAGACATTCCAAAGGAAGAAAAAAAATCCTGTCAAATTTTTATCCTCCATAATGTCTACCCAAACATCTTTACCAATTTCATTTCTGCCATCAAACATGACAGCAGGAAATAATGACATTCCACATACTTATGCTTTTAAAATGGATTCCAAATCTTAGAATAAGTTTAATTTCTAGGAAAATAACATGAAAACTCTTGTCTTCCCTCCGAGCCATCTTGCCAGGTGCCAAATGATTTGACTAGTGCCTCTGCCAACATATTTGTCTTTGCAAAAGCGCACTAGATACCACTTTGTATAGTACAGTAAATATTTAAGTTATCTGAAGTGCATTTGAAAAACAATTGAAAACACAGATTAATACACCATAAAAAGATTAATTCCCTTTAAACAAAGACATTCTTATAAAGTATGGTAACACAGTAGGCACGATAAAGAATATAAATTGTGTATCAATTATTGGCAGAAAATCGATTCTTTACAAAGCCCACACAAATGGGGAAGAAGACATTTTCATACAAAGAAAAGTATTACACTATTATACAACACTTTTAATTGTACATTTACAAATTTTTGGCACATTAAAAGAAACTGAAAAGACCATAAAGTAAAGGACAAAGAAACTGAAAGATACAAGAGAGACAGAGAGAGAAATCCTCATGTGAGAAACACTAAGTATTAACATAGGAGAGAAATAAAATAAGCTGGCTGAATTTCCTGAAATGTTGTTATATGTAACAGAAGTATGTTTTTTAAAAATCCCTAATGGGTGAGACCTCTCTACCTTGCTGTGGCTGGTTGGACATGGCCTGGATAGGATCTTCTTGTGCTGGTTGCTTGTCTTTGCCTTGCTAGAAAGGACTGCCCTGAACCTGTGCTAGCTAGTCTATCTTCAGCCGCCTTTTTATGTAGAGTCATTCCCTGTAACATTAAAAGAGAAACAAAAGTAGTCAGTGAAAACATGGGATATTCTTACAAAAATAAATGTCATCATGCAGAATTTACTATATTAAATAGCAAAGTACAATTTATTAAGAAGATTAATTCTACTCATTATGGCTAAAATTTTATGAAATCCTTTTCATTCCAATAATTAAGTACAGATCTTCCTTTGGAAAAATTGAGGCTTAATTTTACAAAGTTACAAGAATTAAAATAAGAGATAATAAAGAACAATTTTTAGAATATGCCACCCATACTTTCCTTTCAAATCAAACAGCGATTTTTTCAAGAAAAGTGCAAACGATTGGTAGCAGTTGATTCACACACATTGTGGAAATCAGAGAACTAATCAGAAAGGAAAAACTCAAATGTACTTATTTCTTACGACAGAAAGCCATACTAGGTATAATACATACCACAACGTTGTTTTTCTTTACTTCAAGGCAGACTTGTATCCTCAAACAAACTAAGAAAAGTTTCTGACAACCCACAACAGAGGACACAACAAGAAGGGGATCTCCCCTTAAAAGCAAAAAAGTCACTTATTACCTCTGAAGAGGGGCAAAAGTCACCAGGCTACACCTAAACAGGGAGGAAACCTGTAGGGTACTTTCAGAATTTGGAAAAATAGTGAGTGACAGTATCAGCACCACTTTACTAAAATCAGAAGACTACATAAAGAGACTGGGATGGGCCAGTTTTAGTATTCTTTTAATAAGACAATGACCTAATCTAGTAAGAGGAACTGAGACTGCTGGTTAATCATACCAGTAACAGGGTAAACTGATGTGGAGAGGTAGAGGCTGACTAAGAAGAAATAAGGAACAGAAGACAGGAGAGGGGAAAGTCAATCTTCCTACTACCAATAAGCATCTAGAAAAACATTGGCTACAGCTTTGCATTCTGATATAGCCTCAGTCTTTCTTATGCACCTAAGAACACAACCCATTTTCCTCAATGGGAAATCCTAGAATATGTTTCTTTTCTGTGTGTTTGTTTAGACAGGGTTTCTCTGTGTAACAGTCCTGGATGTTCTAAAACTCTCTTTGTAGACCATGCTGGCCTCAAACTCATGGAGATCCACCTGCCTTTTTCCTGAGTGCTGGGATAAAAGGCCTGTGCCTCCATCACCCAGCTGTTTTATTTTCTTTAAGGCAGAGTCTTACTATGTAGCTCTGCTAGCCTAGAACTAGGTCATCCAAGCAGACCTTGAACTGGGATTACTTACTTTCTAGTCTCAGGTATGTCCTCAGGGGGTGGGGTGACAGTGTGTGTGTGTGTGTGTGTGTGTGTGTGTGTGTGTACATGAAATATATAGATGGGATGCCTATATCACAATTTTTGTGGTGGTCAGAGTACAACTTCATGAAGTTGGCTCTCTCCTTCAATTTTACATAGGTTCTAAGGATTGAATTCAGAGCGCCAGGCTTGAGCAGCATGCACAATTACCTGCTAAGTCATCTTGCCAACGCTTAGAGTATTTTTTTTTTTTAACTCACCTTTAACTTAACAGAAACATTTGAAGGTTTGAATAAAACTAGCAAATATCCACTGAAAAACTTTAATATATATAAAATGAAATTACATTTTATTTAAACAATTCTAATTTTTCAAGCAGTTGACTGTGCTGTGTTCTAGGGCTTTACCACTGAGCTACACTTTTCAAGTACTTTTAAGATGTCAGTGGCCAGCACAAAACTATTTCTTGACTCCCATTTAAGATGTCTGAGATGCTAAACTTTCTGAATAGAAGCATGATGGTCCTATTAGTTACCTTTTGAGTGTAGAACTTTCGTGTGTCTATTTTGAATGACCCTTTCACTCCGAAAAATTAAAAATTAGTACTGTCCTCTAGTTCCATGTCACAGAATAAATAAATCTGGTTCCATAAGAAGCAATATGTGAAATTGCTAACAGAGACCAAAGTATAGGTGGAGACTGGGAACATTGAGCTTCCAGGAAGACAGAACAGTGGGGTTAGGGTTAATGCCCAGAGAAATCCCTTAGTGGAATTTGTTTTCTCTACTTTTAAATTTAATTTTCAAGAAAATTTTATTTGTTAATAATACTCTCATTTTAGAGTCCATGAGCTCCTACAAATTCGGGTCAACTGTCTGTGCGGGTTTCCCCATCATGATCTTGACGTCCCCTTGTTCATTTAATCCCTCTTCCTTCTCTTCAGCTGGACTCCCATAGCTGGTGCTTGGCTATGGGTCTGTGCATCTGCTTTTCTATGATGACAGTTAGGGTAGTCACCAATCTGATTACAGGGGAAGGCCATTTAGGCACCCTCTCTATTATTGCTAGGGGACTTAACAGCCTGGAAATGGCTCCCTCTATTGAGATATCTCACAGACTCTAGACTGACAGCTGGGGAGCCTGCATGGGACAGAACTAGGCCCTCTGCATGTGGGCGATAGTTTTGTAGCCTGGTCTGTTTGTGGGACCCCTGACAGTGGGACCAGGATCTATTCCTGTAGCATGAGCTGGCTTTTTGAAATCTATTCCATATGGGCTTTGCTTAGTCTTGATGTGGGCTGGAGGGTGGGGGACTTTGGTCCTGCCTCAACTGAATGTGTCAGGCTTGTTGACTCCCCTTACCCTTTCTGAGGAGTAGATGAGTAGGGGTGGGTGAGAGGAGGGGAGGGAGAACTGTGGTTGGTATGTAAAATGAAATTAAAAATTCTTATTCAAGATCATTTCCCTTTTAAAAGAAAAATTACAGTAAGTTCTTAAACTTTAACCAGCACACTGGTGTACTGTAGACACAAAACATCATCAAACAAACAAACAAACAAACATACATACATACATACATACATACATTTTTATTTTTTTATAGTTTTTCGAGACAGGGTTTCTCTGTGGCTTTGGAGGCTGTCCTGGAACTAGCTCTTGTAGACCAGGCTGGTCTTGAACACAGAGAGATCCACCTGCCTCTGCTCCCAGTGCTGGGATTAAAGGCGTGCGCCACCATAGCCCGGCAAAACATGTATTTTTAGTAAAGATCAAATCACATTTTAAGGTTGGAGAACTAACCTTTAAGAGATAGTACCAACTGTAACACTAAAACAAAAACAATTTTTTTTTTTTTTCCTGAGACAGGGTTTCTCTCTGTGTAGCTTTGTAGACCAGGCTGGCCTCAAACTCAAAGATCCACCTGCGTCTGCCTCCCGAGTGCTGGGATTAAAGGTGTGGGCCACCATTGCCTGGCTCAAAAACAGTATTTTTATGCCAACAGGAGAGCTATAAGACAAAAGGGAAAAACTGAAAGAACAGCCCAATTTCCTATATCAAAAACTAACATTTGAGCTGGTGAGATGGCTCTGTAAGTAAAGCAAGCCTAGTGACTTGTGTTCAATCCCTGGAATCCACACAGCTTCCCATCATGTATACACATGCACAATAAATAATTTTTTAAAACCCTAAAATTTCAAAGCAGTAGAAATGGTTTCATTGGAATGAACACAAAGAAAAGAACAAAGGTTCTAGAAGAGCTTCATCCAGTATAATTCACAACTGTGCATGAGCCAACGAGCAGTTAGCTCCTTCTCTTACAGATATCTAGTTTCTTTGCATGTGTACTGAAATATTTCATTTCAAAACTTTCAGTGGTCCAAGTCTGAAACTGAACATTTCCAAATCCCATGAGACAAACTACCTATAAAGAAAATCTCATCGTGCAAAGGTACCAAAACAACCCACAAAGTTAAGAGCTACTGCATCTGGTTAGGCATTACCATGTCTGCTTTCCCTACAACAAATGACTCCAAGGAATAAAACTAAACTGTTTTTCCTATCTTTTGAGGATGACGGTTTCACAATACTTTAGCCTTGTGTATGGTGCTTTTCAGTTTTAAGATCAACATAGAGGCTTTGTTAGTATATGTTAGGAGAGAAATTACTTCAGATTCTTTTGGCAGAATTACTTCTACAGTAAAGGCAATATGACATATAACTTTGCATTATATTCTGGAAGACTTTTCTCTTACCATATTGTACCAGGCACTAACAATGTATTTCTCCTCCATGTCTCTTTGACTCTTCGTTTTCTCATATTCTTTCTGAAGCAAAACCACATGTAAAGATTCCAATGAATTCAATGTAAGGAAATATTTACAATTAACTGTCGAACCCTTGTATAATATAGCAAGGTTTTCTGAAAAACCTAAAAACCTCAGTATTTTATTGCACAGTGTACTAACTGACCTCTAATGAGTGGAACAGTCGATCCCGTTCCTGCAGTTGGTTTTTAAGAGCTTGTATTTCTGGTGCAGCTCCTTGATTCTGTTTAGGGTCTAATGTACGAATAACCTGCAAAAGTAAAAGAAAAACTTAAGCATACATATAAGTTCACACATATAACCTAAACAACAACAACAACAACAACAACAAAAGTCCAAAAAACTCAAATCTCAATCCCTCATACTTAAAGACTGTAGCATCCAAGAAAGCAGTCTTACAATGAAAATCAAGCTGAGGATACAACCCAGTGGTACAATGCATACCTAACATGTATGGGGCCCTAGGTTCAGTCCCCAGTACTGCAGGAGAGGGTCAGGGAATACAGTGGCTGAACAACACATGCAGCTATAGCTATTGCTATCTTAGCATGCATAAAGCTGTGTCTGATTCCTAGCGACCCCTACCCCAATCAAATAAACCAGAAAAGGAAAATAACACTCAAAAGCTATTAAGGACATTTACAAAAGGTAAATATATGAAGTAAATTCACCTAACTTTTCCATGATATAGACAGAAGAATCAATTCAGGATTAGTGAGCATTGCTAAACACATGCTATTCACAGCTCTTTTCTGTTTTATTTCAGTTAGCCCTGGACACGTAAACAGAAAAGCACATAAGGGTGAATCCTAATAGGCTGTCTCTTCTTCTGTTAGTAGCATGGTTGAAGCATACACATGGGATGCATTTCTACATGACTTCCCAAGTGCTGGATTAAAGGTGTGCGCCACCAACGCCCGGCTTTGTGTCACCAATGCCCAGCTTCCTACATCCTTCTTTTATTCTTTTCTCTCTTGTATGTATGTATGTATACATAATGCTGAACAGAGAGACCAATTGGTCTAAAGCTACTGTCCACATGAGCTAGGTGGAAGAGGAACAGAAAAGCTTTCCTAAGGGGTATCCAAGTATGAGTGTGTATAAATGACTGATCGGTGTGTGCAAAGACTAGCAACTGTGGCTCCCTCCTTCCAGATATTTACAATCTGAGACTGCTCACCTCCAGAGATCTCCTACCAAGACTAGCTAACCCTCCTCCTGGGCTGAAGTAAAAGTGATGAGGTTCTGGGTTGCAGCAGTTATAAATTCCCACCTGATCTCAACTTCACTGTGTGTGTCTGTGATTCTCTTGCCAACCCTAGCCAGGGTTCCAGGACCCAAGGAGCACATGATGCAATGGTGCAGCCAGGGGTAACTCTCAGGGGTCTTTCATCACTCTCCACCTTATTTTTTGAGATAGTGTCCCTTACTGAACCTGGAATTTACCATGTTGGCTAGACTGACTGGCTAGTAAGCCTGAGATTGTCCTGTCTCTCATCTACCCACCTGCTGGGTTATAGATGTGTGCAGCCATGCCCAGTTTTATGTGACTGCTGGGGATCTGAAATGAGATAGATCCTCATGCTTGTACATCAAGCACTTTATCCACTGAGATATCTGCTCAGCTCTCATAACACTGACTTTTACCCCCAATTCTGCATTATCCAATTTGCTTTTAAAAAAGATTAATTTTATGTATATAGGTGTTTTGTTTATGTATGTAGAAACATCAGGGAAGGGAATCAGATACAATGAGACTATGGATCCGATGGGACCCCAGTTATAGATAGTTGCTGCTGTGCCATCTCTCCAGCCCCCTCCAACCCCAATGTGATAGGGGATGTCCTTCTGTATGCTGTCAATATATGTTTCTCTTACTAGTTGATGAATAAATGCTGATTGGCCAGTAGCCAGGCAGGGTTACCAGACTGGGAGAATGCTAGGAAGAGGAAGGCAGAGAGGAGCCACCAGAGGGACACCAAGTAGCTGCTGAGGGAGCAAGAGGACCAGGCATCACCACTAAGCCAAGATAAAGTGGAGACACATAGTTTAATAGAAATGGGTTAATAATTAAGAGAAATCTAGCCAATAAGAAGACTGAGCCATCAGCCAAACAGTTTATAATTAATATAAGCCTCAGTGTGTTTATTTGGGACTGAAGGGCATCAGGACCAGCCAGGCAGAAACTCCCATCATCACCAATCCATTATTTAACTTTTCAAACAACTTCATATTGTTCCCCACAAAGTGTGAGGAAAGATCTAGAGGACACTTTGATTCAGGTTAATTACTGATAACAGTAATATTCCATCAGGAGGCATCAAGTCTTGGCTGTAGCATTGTGCATTGTTAATATCTTTTTTTTTAATTAAAGTTTATTTTAAAGATTTATTTATTTATTTTGGCCAGGTATGGTGGAGCTCGTCTTTAATTGCAGCACCTGGGAGGCTCAGGCAGGCCAATCTCTGTGAGTTCTGAGACCAGCTTGGTCTCCACAGTGAATTCTAGGACAGCCAGAGGTATTACAGAGAAATGCTGTCTTGAAAAACAAAAACAAAATAAGATTTATTTATTTTGAGTGGTTTGATTCTCAGCAGGCTGTGTACTATGTGACTGTATGCATCATATGACCATGAAGATGAGAAGATAACTAGGAAGTAGAGTTACAGACAATTGTGAGCCACCATGTGGGCTGTCTGTAGTAACGTGCTCTGAACCACTCAGGCATCTCTCTAGCCCCTTAACTTTTTGTAAAATTAAAGATTTATTCATTTATATGAGTATGTGGGTTTCTCCAGCATATATGCATGTGAATCACTTGCATGCCTGGTGCCCACTGGAGCTAGAGATGCCACTACAGCCCCTGAAACTGGAGTTACTGATGGCTGTAATCTGCTATGTGGGTGCTGAGAACTGAACCTGGGTTCTGCACAAGTACCAAATGCTTTCAATTGCTGAGCCATCTCTCTAACTTCTTAAAAACTTTTAAAATCATTCTATAATTTAGTGGGTTTTATCATTACATTTTCATACATATATGTCATTCATCATACTCTGTTCTTGGTCAATTGAGATTGTTAAATTGTTGCTGCCAGGTCTGACGAGTGCCACCCCCAGAACCCTAATGTTCCTGTCTGTTCATTCAGATATCTCATTATGTCTTTTCTTCTTTCATGTGTTGTTAACTCTAATTACTGGCTACACAGTGGTGGCTGCCACTTATTTCTTATATAAGATACATTTTCTTCTTGCTAATCAATTTCTGGAGTGACCTATTTTGATTATTACTTACTAGAGATCTCTTTCTGCTTAGGAGATTTCTTTGCTAATTCTCTGTGTAAGAACATAATTTTATGTGGATATTCGACTTTCAGGCTAGAGAAAAACATCTCTGGAAAATACAGTGAGATAGTTACAAGTTCATACTCACACTTTTGGCTTTCTCTAAGTATTTTTTATAGCGTTCTTCCATTTGCTTCATTTCTTCTTCTTTCTTCCGTAAAGCTTCTTGTAATTCTTCAATCCTTAAAGCTGCAAAAAGATGTTAATAAAAAAAATTAGATTTTCGGGGTGAGGGGAGGGGGCAGGAGGAAGAACTGTGGTTGGTATATAAAGTGAAATAAAAAAATTTAAAAATTATATTTTAATAACATTATATTTTAAATTATTTATTAAGAAATAAATGGTAGTCCTGAGATATTGTTTGGTCTATTCTTATATATAATTTTTTATTTAAAAATAATTTGTATTTTTATTTTACTAAAAGTTTCTCTTAATAAGCAAACAAAGATGCTGCTATTAAACCACATAAAGTAAAATGCATATATTGATGGTTGAATGAATAAATAAACACACTCATACCATATACTCTTTTAAAGTCTAAATTCTAATATATGTCACAGTATTGAGACTTAATGTTAAATGAAAAGAAAGACATTATGCTTAGTGAAATAAACTAGACAGGAAAGTACAAATATGATTCTATTTGTATGAGTTTCCTAGCACAGGGAAGCTCAGAGACAGAGGGTAAAGTAGAGTGGGGGGGATATTAGTAGTTGAGAGGGATGAGAAGATTTTACAGGTGAGTAGTAGTGAGGTTGCACAATAATGTATTTATTTCTACTGTACTGTATTCTTAAAATGGTTACCTGTTGCTGTGAGTATTTTGCTATGACTTAAAATTCATCTTACTTCCATAAAAACAAAGACAACTGCATGTACAAATAGATAGAGGTATTTGTCTAGGACTAACTTATGAGCAATTACATTGAAAGTATCTAGCATATAATGTCTATTACAATCCACAGTTAAAGATTTCATAAATAAAATTAGTACTTTAAGGAAAAAGGCAAATTATTTAAAAATTATTATCACAAAATGTGTGTGTGTGTGTGTGTGTGTGTGTGTGTGTGTGTGTGTGTGTGTGTGTGTATCTGTTTGTCTCTGTGTATGTGCACTTGAGTGCAGGTCCCACAGGACCAGAGGCATGGTGATCTCCTAATGCTAAAATTATAGGCAGTTCTAAACCAAACTTTGGTCCCCTGCACGAGCAGCAAGAGCTCTTAGCTGTAGAGCCATCTCTCCAACATCTGACATTTTTTTTTTTTCCTTTTGGTTTTTCAAGACAGGGTTTCTCTGTGGCTTTGGAGGCTGTCCTGGAACTAGCTCTTGTAGACCAGGCTGGTCTCTTCTGGCCTCCATGGGCACCTACACACATTTGGCATATACTTACATAGCCACATACATGTGTACATAACTAAAAAATATATAAAAATAAGTTGTTGTTTTAAGAATTTGTTGGGGCCAGGTGGTGGTAGCGCATGCCTTTAATCCCAGCACTCAGGAGGCAGAGACAGGTGGATATCTGTGACTTTGAGGCCAGCTGGTCTACAGAGAGAGTTCCAGGACAGCCAAGGCTGTTTCACGGAGAAACCCTGTCTTGAAAAACCAACAAAGCAACCAACCAACCAACCAAACAAACAAACAAACAAAAAAAACAAGTTACAAAAATTAATTATCTATAGAACAGTGTACAGCTAATGATATTGTTAGGAAAAACTCACAGCTGTTGTTAAATCTTGGCTCAAGATCTTCAATAATGGCTCTCTTTTTCTGTAATTCGTTGTTGGCTTCATGCAGCTTCTCTCTGCCAACAAAATAGATGACTGTATCATCACTTCTGCTTTTCTTTCCTGTGCTGGATATCCAATTTAGTGCCTCATACATGCTACACAAGTTCTCCACCTCTGAGTACATGCTCAGCCCTTGTTTCTGTATTCTTTTTTTCATTTTGAACTAAAAATTAATTATATTTGGAATACACTTGCACACACAAGTACTATGAAACAAAGGTAAATGGATTACAATTTTAAAAAGGCAAAACCCATTTGTTTTGGTTTGAAATAAAAATTTCTTTTACATAAAATATATATGAGGATCTTCATGTTTTATAGAATATGGACATTGTAGAAATTAAGCTTCAATCTCTGAAAAGCTTTTTCAATGCAAAATCTTGTCACCAAAGGCAAATTGATAAAAACAAAGACTAGCAGAAAGAGCATTACAGATCATACAGATACATGCAACCATATGAATAGACCTCACAAAATAATGCATAACAAAGAAGTCAGGAGTTTATGATTTTGTTTATGACAAATACAGCATTGAAACTAACAAAAGGTGATGAAGATTGCACTGTGGCTAATATAGAAATGTATTCAATCAACTGGGAGGAGGAAGGATGAATTCTATTAAATGTTGACTAAGATTACCTATATATGGAGGTAAGTATTCACAACCTATATTAAGAACTTAGGATATGTACATTACTATATAAAAGTTATATTCCAATATAAAAAAGAATAAATAGAAACAAGTTTTTCTCTTGTGAAAGTTTTGTAATAATGTGATGTATAATTCTTACTTTAAATTATTCAGTGTGGAATTATGTAATATGTGTAAGACAGATGGCTAAAAACATACCAATAATAACTGAGCATTTTGTTATGTCTACTTCTGATTTTTTTTTCAAAGCATTATACTGTAATAGGTTCCTCCTTGCCTTTTTTGGACACAGGGTCCTACTGTGTAACTCTGGTAGACCTGGACCTCACTCTGTAGACGAAGCTGGCCTTGAACTCAGAGACCCACCTATCTCTGCCTCCCAAGTGCTGGGAATAAACGTGTGTACTACCACTCCTGGATCTTTTTCTCTTTCGGTAAATTATTTTTGAAGGTCTATCACGTATACAGTAAACAAAATAACTAGGCACAGTGACCTGTCAAAAGGTTAAAAACCAAAAATCATTCCAAAACCATAGAAGTCACACATTTTCCCGGGGTAATCAATGTTCAAATTTTTAAGTGTTCTCCTGATTCATATGGTGGTTGCTGCCTTTGTCTTATTCCTAAGCAACACATTACCATGTCTAGCATTTTACTTACTACATTAATCATTAAATATAGGTCTCCTAAGGTTTATAATTATACATTGACAGTATTATCTCTGGAAATTTCAGATATACACAGTAAAATTAATATATTACAGAGTATATATTTGTACTTTGTTTGATATGAAGAGGTTACTGAGAAATACTGTCAACAGTCAGTGAGGATTACTATTGCTTAACAACTTAAGCAATATTTCTTATTACTGTTTTAATTTTTAAACCTAATTTGATGTGTTTAAAAATGGTCTCTAGTGCAGTTTTAAATCTGTATGTGAGGCTGAGAAGAGTAGCGGTTCTGTGGTGAGTTGGACTGTCTTCCAAAAGGAAAGTTCTAACCTCTAGTACTATGATTGTGACACTATTTAGAAACTGGATCTTTGTAGATACAGTTAACAAGAGACTCTACTGGACCAGGGTACTTGCTGAGCCCATTACTGTTGTCCTCAAATGGAGGCTCACATTCCTCCTTAATTGTGGTTTTGCTTCCTGTGGCTCCAGTTGCTTTTGCTCAATTGGAGTCAACCATTACATGAAAATACCAGACAGAAGTTTGAAGCCAAACAATGTACCAAGGTGTGTGATAATACTTCATGTGGTCCTGTTGTGTCCTGACTAACATGTGAATTATCCCTCTGTCCTGCATATCCATGCTGTGTAGGTTATCTACCACTTGCCACTTACTAACCAGTTTGTTATTAGAACAACTGCTTTAGGATAGTGTTATAATTATTCTATTTTATTATTGATTTTTTTTTTCTGGTTTTTCGAGACAGGGTTTCTCTGTGGCTTTGGAGGCTGTCCTGGAACTAGCTCTTGTAGACCAGACTGGTCTCAAACTCACAGAGAACTACCTGCCTCTGCCTCCCGAGTGCTGGGATTAAATGCATGCGCCACCAACACCCAGCTTATTATTGAACTATTATCAGAGGAATTTGTCTATAGAAAAAACCCAGAAAATGTAGAGTTCAGAACTATTAGTGATTTGATTTCAGGCATTTACTGAGCATCTTGGAAGAAGTCCCTTGAAGATGACAGAAGTACTATACAGAAATAATGCCAAGTGGAAACAGGCTACCAAAGGAACACCAGGGATTGCCAACAGCTGGAACATGCTTCTGCTCCTCCTCTAGGAAACAAATTTGTGAAGAACTGGACTTCAAATTTGTTGGCTCTATAACTGTGAGAGAATAAATTTTTCTGTTCTCTTCCCCAATTATTTTGCGCTACATTGATTATAACAGACAGAAGAACCATCTTCACTAAAAGATCCTATCTAATGAAGATTTTTAGCATGTAAACAACTGAACACTTAACAATGGTTAAAGAGTAGATTTATGAATCTAAAGTATTCAGTTTTTGTCAGAGAGGAAAATACAAAAGTACAAGACTTGGTACTACGATTTCATTCTGGGTAACCTTACAAAGGTTGGAAAGTAGCATTGTTCTAGAACACTAAGAATCTGTCTTATTAGACTTTCTAGAAATCTCAGTGGCTGGGAGTCTATCACATCTAACATATTAGAAAAATTCAATTAACTTGTCAAACTTTCAAAAAGATACTTGGAGTATCTTTCCAATATAGGAGGAAAAGTTAAATTTGTCTCTGGTGCTCAGAATGCTTATTTTAAGATGACATTTCAGCAGCAACTAATTCATACCCACCCCACACTTAATGCCAGCAAGTATGAGAAATATCACTACATATCCCAACATAGTTAACTTCAGCTAAATATGGAGGATTTTTTCAGGAGAAATCAAAGTTAATGTTTAAGGTTTTTATTTCATCTTTTAAGTTAAAAAGTCTTACTAAGATGACTGTAATTCAAATGCTTATTTGAAAATATGCTATGGACAAGCACTCCACTTTAATAAAACATTTACTTGTTGATATAGCTATCAACATACACCTAAGGCTCAGAGAACATGGAGAAATGAGGGTGCAAAGATTGTAAGAGCCAGAGGACAAGGACATCTGCTTTAAGATAGTGTCGTCTTAAAAATAAACAACAACAACAACAAAAAAGACATGAAGTAGTGGGGTAAGGAGAAGGTGTTAGGGGAAAGAGTGGGGTTTGTGAATACAATTAAAATACATCATATGAAATTCTCAAAGAACTAATAAAACTATGTATTTTTAAAAAAGTTTATTTATAGAAGAATGGCTGCCTGGCAAACTGCAGCCTGTCAGGGGCAGGCAGTGGAGTACCTATTCGCATTTGTTAAGCTCTACTGCAGCACAGTCCAAACTAGTTTTAATATTGTCTACAGCTGCTTTTGGAGCTGAGTGGCTGCAACAGAGGCTGTGGTTTTTGATGCAGCATCTCATACTCCTTTCTAAGAAGGAGTCTCATGCTATTGTCCAAATTGGTCTGAAACGAAGAGAAATTCTCTTGCCTCAGTCTCTGGGTTGCAGGTATGAGTCATCATGCCCTGCTCACAATCACTGAATTGATGTGCGGGATTTGGGTAGAAATGGCCCTGAAGACAGAACAAGTGGTACTTTGCTGTTTCTTCAAAGACCACTTATGCCACTGCCTGCACCTTTGTACTCACAACATAAAGTGCTTTTGTTTTGTAATGTGAAGAGCCTCAACAAGTTGTCTACTTACAGATGTTCTTCAAGCTTCTTTTTTAGAAGAACTGACTGAAATGGAAAATAAAAAATTAGCTCATTCAACATTTTAACTAACAGATTATTTTGTAAAAATGAAAGAATATATAGTAAATAACTTGGGGTAAGCTCTCAGTAATTTCTTTGGTCACAGAGCTCAAAACCGAATATACTTCAGTTTATTCCTCTTCAATAAGAGAAGAGAACAGCCCAGAAGTGAGAGCACTCATTAAGAAACACACAGAAACTATATAAATTCTCAATTTAAACACAGGGAAATGAATTTCAAAGCTCCTTATATAGAAACCCAAATACCCCTAAAGTTAGTATCTAATTAGTACCTTAACAATAACAGATTTTTCTTACACTGCTTTCTTTGCATATAAAGTCCCAGATTCATTGCCCTATTTAGCTGATGACAAGTAATATATTTGATGGCATGGAAAATGTAAAGAGTAAAATGTTAAGATGCTGAGAATGAAGTTGAACTGGGTAATTTTTTAAAGGTTTTAGCCTCCTGAAAAGCAGGAAGTTAAAACTTATGTAAAATAAGTAGTAAAGACACTTAACAAAGGGCCACCAAGTTTCAGTTTAACACTTACATGGGTAAAAACTAATAATGGATTTTGAATTATGTGATAAATGACACTCAAAATCAATTAATGTAGGCTTATAAAACAAATTACTTGATAGCTTAACAATAGCAACGAAGAGAGGGAAAATCTCTCCATTTTTTAGCTGCCCTGTTTAATGATGATCACCATATATATTAACTCATGTCTACCTACTTCCTGACATTTAGAAATAGCCTGGAACTCACCATGTATAGAGCCCAGTCTGCCCTTGAACTCACGACCCTCCTCCTAACTGCAGAAGGTCTGGGATTTCAGGTGTGTACTCCAAGGCTGTGTTATAATTGTTTGAATAAACTCAAGCCTGATGATACACACCTGAAGCCCAAGCACATTTAGTGCCTTAAGAAACACACTAAAGCCGGGCGTTGGTGGCGCACGCCTTTAATCCCAGCACTCGGGAGGCAGTGGCAGGTGGGTCTCTGTGAGTTCAAGGCCAGCCTGGTCTCCAGAGCAAGTGCCAGGACAGGCTCCAAAGCTACACAGAGAAACCCTGTCACGAAAAACAAAAACAAAACAAAACAAAACAACAACAATAAAAATAACCACACTAAAAATTATTAAGTCCAGTATGGCAGAGACCCCAACCTCTGAACAGCCTCCCTTTCCATATGTTCTATGGTGCAGTGCCTCTCCAAATAGAAGACTAAAATGATAAAAATATGTGGCTGGAGGAGACTAGATTATGAAAGGAAGCTTGTATTAAAGCCAATTATAATCAATGAACTAATTATAAGTGACAGAGCAGAAGTGAGACAAAGGGAGAGCACATCTCCATTAAGATTTGGATATACTTTAAGAATTTTAATTGTAAAGAGCATATACTTACAAAGCAAGTATTAGAATATTCAGTTTTCACATGAGTCCTACTTTAAAATTTCAGTATCACTGACTATAGTATCAGATAAAGTATACAATTTAAAAACTGCTAAGTATGTGGAAATGAATAGGAAACCATACTTACAATAGCCTTGAGCAGAAACCATGCCAAGAGACAGAGAGGACATATTAGTATGAAGCAAACACAGCAGCCAAGAGAAGGAACGATTTAGTAATTCATGAACAGAAGTAAAAGATATGCAATTTTTTTCAGAACTGTACATTTTTTCTTTCTTCTATGGCCTCCTCATCCTGTCTCGTTCTCTGATGTTTTATATACTGTGGCTAGCTCAAATTATCCATATGACTGGATATAACAATGCATTTCTGCTTCCATGCTAAAAACAAATGACATAAAAATAATAATAAAAATGTGCAAACCATCATGCTCTGACTTAAGGTTATAAGAAAAGACTGTTTTGATAACAGAAAAGTTAGCAATTAAGTGTTCTTCTGCAGAGAGGATGAATCCAGTCTAGAGGTTGCTCTATGCATCACACTCCTGAGATACCACATTATAGATTATTGAGGAGAAAAATAAAGGAAAAACATCAAAAATCTGATGGGGTAAAAGAACTATATATCCTAAACTAAACTAATTATTTCCTCTAAGGAATCTGGAGTCTTCAAAACAGAAAAATTTCCACCTGAATCTTGTCTGCAGAGAAGAACACGGAAGGAAATTTTTCTTAGATTAGAGCTAGACATCTTATTACTACTTAGGCGGTTAAAAGGTGACCAGTTTATCCAAGTATTTGATAGGGCTGGCATCTTACCTCTGACATAAAATCCCCTACAAAGCAATTGCCCATAATATGTTTAATTAGATTTATCACAGTGATAACTAAATAGGCTGTCCAAATCAGTTTTAAAAAACAACTCCTTAATGTTTTAATTAAGCAAGAGAACCACACACAATGATCCTTATTGCATTACTACATTTAGTTAGCTGGACCACTCACCATGCTTACCTATTGTGTACCACCCCCTCTTTCCCTTTCTACCAAAACAATCCACAACAGTCACCTCAAAGTTTTTAAGACCCAAATGAACGTTATATTTATTTTGGTTAAAGGAATCTAGAGATGTCAATGAGTTAAGAAATACTACATCCTATGGCTCATCTCTAAGACACTGTTAAGGAGACTATTATTTCAGTGTGCTAATTTCATTTCTTTGAGAGTTACCATTTACATATGTTTTGTTTGATTGTTTTTAAATCATGGCATTGGGCTAAGGGTATGGCTCAGTGGTAGAACACTTGATTTGAAACCCAGAGCCACAAAATTTTTAAAAAGAAAAATAAAAAAGAAAGACTTGGCATTTTAACTAGCTCCATCTTAATAAAGGTGCATGGTTGTTAAAAATGACAGTAGTTGTAAACTGAGCTGGGAAACTAAAACAATTACCAACTCACTAAGAAATAAAGTAAACCATGAATTAGAAGGACACACTGGCAATCTAAACAAGATATATGTGTAGAGAAATTTCTAAAACTAAGTTTGAGGCCTCAAGGGCTTTTATATTTAATATTCTCAAGATTTAAAAATAATTTACCTAACTCTCTGTCCTTTTCACCTTTCCTATGTTAATAAGGCTGGAGGAGATTTTTCCAATTGACTGCATCAATGAAAGCAATCAAGAAAGTTTACCCGAAATGTCTGAGATTATAGAAAACTGCACTGGTGACAGAAAACAAAAGACTTATTAACATTTAATTTCCCTATTCTTTACACTGTTCTTAGGCATTTTTGCGTTTTAGTTTTATTGTGTATGCTTTATTCAAAATAAAGGATTTGCCAATTATAACTTGTTTAATTACTGTTGCCAGAGATGTCTAGTAGGCATTCTAAGTACTGTGAAAGGTCGTTAGTGGACTGACATAATTTAAGTCATTATCCTAAGCTCAGCACAGGCACCATCTTCTAGTGAAAATGTGCTAATAGCAGAGGAGAGCTGTGACAGAGATATGCAGAATGCTAAAAGAATATGCAAAAGTCAGTGTGGATTCAGAAACTCAGAGATGATAGGATACTAGAGATGGCATTATTTTCTTAAATACCAACTTTATATTAAAATTTTCTTCTTGGCAATGTCTTTACATGTTTTGGTTTGGCCTGAGGGGGGAAATCTTTTACTTCACTATGACTTGAACACATTTAAGATGTAGAGCTTCTTGTAATATGTTGCCTGATAAACACAAGTAAACTTGGCAAATCAATTAAAACAGGGCTTTTAAATAAGGAATGTTAGTGAAAAGGAAAACAGTATTTCTTCTCTATAACCAGTATAATGCTAAACTACTAAATATCCTCAAATAAAAAAATTGAAGATGTGCTGGAGAGATGGTTCACTGGTCGACATTTATCACCAGGTCTAATGAATCCAGGCCTCTTTAACCTCTATAACTGTGTAGTACATATGCACACAAGCATGAGCCTCCACAACTCACACATAAATTTGTTTTAGAAAGTATCAAAAGTATAGGTTTTCTTAATTGTGAACCTTTCAGAGCATGGTTAGTACATATCAAAACTTACATCTTCTGCTTTTGAGCCTTGATCCTGCAAAGATTTCTGCAGTTCTTCTACTTGTGACTGTACTTCTAGAAGTCTTTGATTCACCAGCCTGCAAAGCAAATGCACATTAATTCTCCACATATACCTCTTCCCCTTGGCTGATTTCACCGAAAGCATTAGTGGTAAACTCAGAACTCAGGTTGTAGTAGGGTTGCGTAATTGCAATAGCACATTCACAGTTTCATAAGTAAAGATTACTTTGCATATTACTTTTTATATTTAAATTTTCACTTTGGGGCTGGACATGTAGCTCAGTTGGTAGAGCGCATGCCTAAATGCATCAAGCACTAGGCTCCCTCCCCAATACTGTATAAGCCAGATATAGTGGCACATGCCTGCAATTCCCTACACTTGGGGGTGGAGGTAAGAAAGTCAGAAACTTAAGATCATCCTTAGTCACACAGCTTGAGATCAGCATGGTATACATTATGAGCCTGTGTCAAAACAAAATAAAACAACAGCACAACCTCACTTTTGCTTTCCCTCTCTCCTTCCCTACTTTTCAAAAATCTACAATACCACTGTACACTTTGAGAGCCAAAAGACCTGGGATTAATTTTTAAATCTTCTAACTGAAAATTATTAAATATTCTTTGGCTTCAGCTTCCTCAGTTTTAAGATAGAGCTAGTATTACTGTTATAAGGGTTACAAAAGGCAATTTTAATAGACTGGCTGGCAGATTAACATACTAATTATTTGCTACATAATATCTCAGAGTTCCAAATATCTTTGCTAGGAAGGAAGAAAACAAATTATTTCTGTAGATAACATGATGGGGAGGTCCTTCTGTGTATATGTTTGTCTTATTGGTTTATAAATACTGTTGGCCAATAGGGAAGCAAGTTAGGCGGGACTAGGAGTCGAGGAGGACTCCTAGTGATCCAGGCAGAAAGTGACATAGTAGGCTCAAAATATAAGCAGGGACAAGCAGGAAATCGCATGCTTCTCTGGAGCTGCCATGTGAGCCCTACAAGAAAGGATGCATGCCGCTGGCATCCTCGATCACATAAGTCTTATAAAATATATAGACTAGTAGTTATGGTTAATAATTAAGACAGAGATAGCAGATAAGAAATCCTAGTAATTGACCAGAAGCACTGTAATTAATATAAAACTCTGTGTGTTATTTCGGGTGCCCATGTGGCGGCGGGGCTTGGGCGGCTTGGCAGTAAGATTTATTGTTACAATACTATACAAAGAAAATTCTAAAGATTCTATCAAAAAAAAAAACCTTTTAAAACTGATTTTAAAAAATCAGCTAGCTAGCAGGATACAAAATCAATATACAAAAAAATAGTAGTCCCCCCTTTTTTTCCCTAGACAGGGTCTCACTATGCTGGCCTGGAACTCTTCCTGTATATCAAGCTGGTTTGAACTCTCAGAGAGCTGCCTGCCTCTGCCTTCCGATGAAAGGGATTAAAGCAGTGAACCACGGAGCCCTGCCAGTAGTAGCTACTCTATATACCAATAGTGAACTTTCTCAGAAAGAACCCAGATAAGCAATTCCAACAACCACTGCCACAAAACCCCCACAAACCAAAAACCAAACAACAACAATAAACTCAAACCAAAACCAAAAAATTTCTAGGAATAAACCTAGCCAAAAATGTGGCAGACCTCTAGTGTGAAATTACTAGACAGAAACTGGAGAGGATTAACAGAGGACAGAAAGAGCTTCCATTTGATGGGCTGGGGGAATTAATGTTGCTAAAGTTTCCAAACTGCAGACTCAATGGCATTCCCATCAAAATTCCGATGACATTCATTATCCATACAAATAAAAAGACTTATGCTGGTGGCATCACTCGCTTGATTTTAAAACCATTGGAGAGTCCTAACAACAAAAATATAGTATTGAGGTAAAACTAGACCTAGCTAACGATGGGTAAGAGGTTTCAGAAATGCATGTTCAGTCAATCAATTCTTCACAAAACTTCAAAATACCTAGGAACAAAGACAACTTTTTAAACTAATGGTTCCAGAAAAATAAGTATGTGCATGTGGAAGAATGAAACTAGATTCATACCTTTTACCTTGTGTGTGCATAAATCAATTCAAAAAGACCTTAAGATGTAAAACTTTGAAGATATTATAAGATAACATGATGAGATCATTAGCATAGGCAATAATTTCCTCAACAGGAATCCAACAGTTCAGGAAACAAAAATAAAGGACTGACAAGTTCAAGTGTATCAAATAAAAAAATAGTGAATAGAGAGCCTACAGAATGAGATACTGTCAGCTATTCTTCATACAGCAAGAATTAATGTGAAGTGATTATAAAGAAATAAAAAAAGAACGAAAATCAAGTAACCAAATCATTAAAAACCAGAAAGTCCCTAAATAACAAATGTAGGCAAATAGTTTATTTTAAAAGGTAATTATTCATTCATTTTATTTTTATGGGTGTTCTGTCTGAATGTATGTCTGTGCATCACATGTATACAGTGCCTGCAGAGGTCCAAAGAGGGTATGAGCCACCATGTGGGTTCTGAAATCAAACCCAGATCCTCTGGAATGACAGTCAGTGCTCTTAACTACTCTGTCATCTTTCCGGCCCAAATACTGGCAAAGATATAAAAAAACATAATGGATATAAACTAGCAAAACAGCTATGTAAATCAGTAAAATAAAAATAGAAAAGATAATCTTTATTCAACCCTTCCATGCCATTCCTATATACATACACAAGAGTCAAAGTCAGTATACAACTAACACACTTGAATATGTATGTTTATCATAGCACTATTTACAAAGCTAAGTAGTGCTAACAGCATAGGTGCCCACTGATAGATGAATGGATAAAGAAAATGTTGAATAAATACACATTTTATTCAATCATGAAAAATAATGAAATTTTGTCATCTGTTGGATGGAATTGGTGAACATCATGCTAAATTTTTGAAAAAAGGTATCCATAGAAAAAAAGTATGTTTTCTCTCATATTTGGAACTAAGGAGAGTGGGAAGGAGAGGATTTGGAGGGAGGAAAAAGAAATGTTGTAATTATAATTTTTAAAAAAAATGAAAAAATACACTAGCATATAATCATTTTCAAATAAATCTCAAGCCTTTCTTTAAAAATATCAAAATCAAGGCACAGAGGGAGAAGCTGCAGCTGCCACTCCACCTATGCACACTACCTGTTCTCTGTCTCCAGTTCATTCTTGCGTAGGTTTGCATCATCTAGAAGGCTCTGCAATAAGGCAATTTTCTCGTTGTCTGAACCCTCTTGATTGATTTTTAACATCTTATTTTCATGCTGAAGACGAATAAGTTTCTCCCTGAATGAGAAAAATAAAAGCTGGTTATCTAGTTAAGATACCACATGAATCATGACCCAACTATATAAAGTTGGAGTATCAATACACAGGATACAAATGAAAGACTATGAGTCTACTAGTTCAGCACCTTTATAAGTGCAAATGATATCACCTTTAGGAACTTAACTCCTAGAATGTACAGTCTGAAGAAACAGTTTCTGTGTTTCATAACAAAGGATGAAGAAAATTCCAAACACTGTCTTCCTTCTTATTTAAACTATGAACATGACTCTGTAACTGTATAGTGAAAAGTGACTGTTGTTGAAACACAATCTTCTAATTCTGTATATATATACATACAGACAAATATTTGTTTTTCAAAAGAAAAGAATCAAACAGTACATTTTGTACTGGTACTTGCTAGCTACACTTAGAATTAATTACACAATAAATTCTATCTCAAAAATTTAAATGTATAGTACTAAAAGATATGAATCAATCATTACTTATTTAGATGACACATTTCAAGCTTTTAATATTTTGACAATGAGTAGTTTCATAAAATGCCTTTGTGAGTGTTGTTGGCTGTTTCCTTAAGGTCATTTATCAGAAAAGCAAATTTTCAGTTAAAAGATGGGCACATTTCTACACAGAAGACATATTTTCCAATTTGTTCTAAAGACATTTTTCCTCCACTTTTTACCTTGTTTGAGGCTTCTAGTTCCTCCAAAATCCTAACATGAGTGAAAAATATCAAATATTAACTCACTGTCTCTGACATATGCTGTAAAGTTTTCATCACTGTTCATAACTTCATTTTCTTATTAGTTCTTTAGGATATAGAGCAGATTTAAGTTGTATCTAATCACATGCAGAAAAACCATAGGTGTGGGTTATTCTTGCTCCTTTTCTGCTTAAAAAAACCTTTACCAACAGGCTTCCTTAACTGCTTTTGGGGTAAAGGATATAGTCATTTATAATAATCATAAAGAGTAAGTATGCATTCATTCAACTAATTTCATTTGTTCCTAGATGGTGAAAAGTAAAAGGTACATAAGGAGCTGGCGGGATGGCTGACAGCCCAAGTCTGATTCCAGGGTTCCAAAGTGGAGAGAACCAACTCCCAAGTTGTCCACTAACCTCTACACATGAGCTGTGGCTGGGGTGAGTGCTCGTGCATACATACATATACACAAAACAGACAGACAGACAGACAGACAGACAGACAGACAGACAGACAGACACACACACACACACACACACACACACACACACACACACACAGTGATGAGATGGGATATGATGGACAACACAGATAAAGACAATGACAAATAGTCCCAAAAGGTAAAAGCAATGTTTAAGATTAATCATTACCTTCCCAATACGTTCCCCTCCTCTCATTTTCATTCATATACATAATGCTAAGCAATGTACTGAAGGAAATGAAATCTCTATGATGCTGTCTCCATAGACAGGTGAGGAATACTGAGGGAAGAGTAGTTACAGACGAGAAGAGTTCCTCCATTTGTATCACTGTTCCTTTATCAGACCATTCCAAGTGGTTAATAGATAAATCTTAGTAATTAACTATTTATTAGATTGAGTACAACCTTTGTCTTGGGTATTTTCATGCTGTCTGCTAAGCCTCCAAAATGGGATATGTGAGTTTGCTTTTGTATGAAAGACAGTATGAAAAACTGTCTCCCTCAAGTGAAAATAATTTGACCTCTGGCTTCTAAAATGCTGAAAACATGGAAATGTAATACCAAGTTCAGAATGAAATGTCCATCAAAAAGTGGAGCTAGTTCTTTTTTACATGGGGGAGTAAGTTCTTTACAAGGACATTATGTGGAGTGACTGTCACTATCACCCTCCTTACCTGATTTCAGGTGTAATAATCTCTGCTGCGAGGCTGTCTGAGGACTCCTGGCTTCCCAAAGGCATTAACCCTACAAGTACACAGAGAAGTATACAAAGTTAAGGAAGGACAATTACCTCCTTTACTTAAAAGATACAGTTTCAGCAGGAAAGCACTGCCCTGAGTATGAATTGTAACAGCTAAAGAATTCACTAGTTCTTTTTTATTTTATTTTGGTGGTGGTTGTTTGTTTTGTGGTATTGGTACTTGAACCTGGCTCTGTGGATGCTAGGTAAAAATCACCAATTTTCTCAAGTAAAAGTTACAGTAGCCTTACAAAATTAATTTTTCATTCAAACAATTGCGAGTGTCTGACCTCATACCATTAAGCACATTTCAATGTTGTCTAACCATTACCACTATCTGTTTTCAACTATTTAATACCCAGTCAGAAATTCTATAACTATTAGACTATTCCACTCTTCCTGGCCCTAACTTTGGTAATCTCAGTTCTATTTTTCAAGTCTGTGTCAATCAGTTGTTTGTCTAGACATGTAAGCAGAATCATGTATTGGTCTTTTTTACTTAGTCAACACAATAGTTTGATGATTTGTCCACATCACAGCACTCTGCAGAACTTTCTTCCCTTTACTGCTAAATAATATTCCATTTTGTGCATTTATTGAATCTAATCTGTAGATGGATGTGCATTATTTCTACTTTTTGGTGACTGTGACTAATGCTATGTACATATAATGTGTATACACAGTAATGTTATACAATGATCTCATTGTATCCACTTTCAGTTCTTTTAGTGATGTACTTATGAGTGGAACTGATGAATCACGTTATTTTATGCTTAAACATTTTAAAAAGCCATCAAATTTATTTCCACAGCATTGCCCCAGCCCACCAGTAATGCATAATGGTTTCAATTTCTCCCAACTAATTCTAACCAATATCTATTTTCCTTTCTTTGGGGTCTTGGTGGTAGTGGGAAGAGCACTGGCCTCACTAATTAGTTTGTGGTAACTCTGATGTGCCTTTTTCTAGTGATCACTGAATAATATCACTATTTCATATATTTATTGACCAACTGTTTATCTTCTTTGGAGATGCATAGTTCTTTCTATTCAAATCCTTTATTCATGTGTGAAATGGGTTTTGTTTTTATTATTGTTCAATTTTATGAATTTTTCAGATAGCCTGATAATCTCTCTGTGTATATCATGTATTCATGTACATGTGTGTGAGCATATGCAGAAGACAGAAACTGACCTCGACTGTTTTCCTCAATCATCCTGCACTTTAGATATAGAATGTTTGTGTATCATGTGTGTTCCTGACACCCTAAGTGGCTAGAAGAGGGCACTGGATCCTCTGAAACTGGAGTTACAGATGGTTATGAGCAGTCCTGTGGTTAATGGAAATTGAACCCAAGTCCTCTGTACCAGCAGCCTGTGTTCTTAACCACTGAGTGGATCTCTCACTGAGTGGCAAGTCAACTCAGATACTCATACTTCCACATCAAGCACTTTTACCACTGAGCCATCTTCCTAGCCCCTGGATATTAATTCATTTCAGATATTTGCGAATACTTTCTTCCATTTTGTAGATTAACTCTACTCTACCTCTACTCTAGTGTTTCATTAACATTTTCAATGTTGATAAAGCACTCTTCATCTTTTATTTTGTTGCCTGTGTCTTTGGTACCAATTGCAGGGGATCATTGTCAAATTCAATGTCATCAAAATGTAAATTTTAAGATTAGGTCTTTGGGTCAGTTTCATTCTTCTGCATTTGGATGAAAAATATGCAATCCCTCCCACCCCACATTCCTACCTGCTCTAGCTAGAAATTTTAATACTATCCTGAAGAAAAGTGATGATAACAAATTCCTTTATTTTCTTCCTGGTCTTGGAGGGATGACTTTTAGTCTTTGACCACTGAGGTTTTTCCAAATGTTTCTTTATCGTGTTGAAGAAATCTTCTATTTCTGGCATACTGAGCTTTTAAAATTATGAGTAGGTGTTGGAATTTGTCAAATGCCTTTTTTTCTGTACAAACGGAAATGATGCTATTTTCCCTTCATTTTGTTCACATGGCTGACACTGAGCTCTGTGCCTATTCCTGAAGGAGTTCTACAAAATAATTTTTTTTTTTTTTTTTTTTTTTTTTTTTGAGAAAGGGTTTCTGTGTAGCTTTTAGAGCCTATCCTGGCAATCCCTCTGGAGACCAGGCTGGCCTGGAACTCGAGATCCACCTGCCTCTGCCTCCCAAGTGCTGGGATTAAAGGCGTGTGCCACCAACTCCCGGCTTTACAGTAGAGTTCTTAACAGAAAAGGTATGCACCTTCCCCACTCTTGTTCAATACACTACAGCAAGTCTTAGCTAGTGAACTAAGATTCAGGAAGAAATAAAAGGAATACACATAGGAAGGGAACAAGTCCAAGTAACTGAAAAATCAATATTTGTTTAAGTGTGAAACTTGTATCAGCCATTATCAGTCACCTACTATGATTAAAGAATGAAGAGGGCAAATGATAAGCTAAGCATTAATCCCCTCATGTGAGAAAGAAGCCATATTATGTGTGTCATTTTTTTCCTTAAAGGTTTTCTTCTAAGAATTCCTAAATCTTTTTTGAAAGATTTATTTTTCTATTGTGTATATGACTGTTTTGCTTTCACATAAGTTAAGTGCACCATGTGCTGGCAGTGCAGAAGCCAGAAGGGGACGGTGGATTCCCTGGGACTTGGAGTTGCATGAACTGCAATATGGGTGCTGGGAACTGAACCGAGGTCTTCAGTAAGAGTAGCCAGTGCTCTGAACCAAGGAGCCTCTCCAGCCCCGGATTAAGTTTCTTTTTTCTTTTTAGTTTGGCTTTTTGAGACAGGGTTTCTCTGTGTAGCTCTGAAGCTTGTCCTGGAATTCACTTTGAAGACCAGGCTGGCCTCAAAATCATAGAGATCCACCTGCCTCTCCCTCCCAAGTGCTGGGATTAAAGTCCTACACTACCACAGCCCAGCTATAAGTTTCTGAATGATTTAAAATCCATTCTACTTTTTGCAGAAATCACCAACTTGCAAAGTTTGATATACTTTTAAAGAAATAATGAGCAATTTTTCAGAATAAAAGTGTCCAGGTTAACAGATGATTTTTGACTTATAAAACTCAAGAGATTACAAAATTGCTTTAAAGTTGCTAAGTAAACCCAACCCCTCAACCATAACCTGTTAAAATCTTGGTTAACAGTTCAAAAATTTCATTCAGTTTATTTTGTTTGGCCCATTTTTCACTTCCATCTGTTGGTGCAATCATCTTAAAGTGAAGCCAACACCTTTACTGGTATTTGAGCTAGACTCCTGGAGCTACAGGAATTTTTACCTTGAGTGGTGAGCTGCCCCTCCTGAGCCTGGACACAGCGAAGCTCTTCAATGGTTTCCTTCAGAGAATCCCTTTCTGTTCTTAACCTCTAAAGTAACATAAAAACAAAGGTTAGATCCACAGATTTACTAGGCAGTAGTTGAGGCCTTATCCAGGAAGAAGATAAAACAATAAACTTAGGCTTATTTCCAGTTTTGATTTTCTATAGAGCAGAAACAGATGAAGATGATTGTCTTTTTTTATTTTCTATTTTTACAATACCAAGTATTTATTATTATATGCCAATTCATGCTTAAGCATGAGACACAAAGCCATTTAGTCTATCCTTAACTATTTTCTTAACATTGTTTTCATTAAACAAAGATTCAGGATGAAGACTAAATTCAGGATGAAGACTCAAACTGTGAAAAGCAAAAATATGCTCAACAAAACAATGCAGCAGTGTCCTCCATACTAGTCACACAGAAAACAGAGGGCTACACACATAGGAAGTGAACAGTAATGACAAGTGAGACTAATGACAACAAATATATGTATGTTAACGAAATGAGAACTGAAATAAAACTAGTCCTATCTTTTATTTATTTATGAGAAACAAGGGAAAAATTGTGACTTAAAAGTAGAACAATTAAAAAAAAAAGAAGGAATTAATGCAGTCAAAACAAGTTAAATTCCCGTCTTAATGTTAGCACATCTGGAAAACAAAATGCTCAATACATACTCACATCTTTTTCTTTCTGAAGACCATCAACCTTTTCTTTTAGCCGCTTATATTCAAAATCTAACTTATCTGCTTTCTTTGATTCATCAGATAATCTATTTTGCAGTTCTACAACCTGAAACAAAATATAAAAATGATATAAAAATCTCAATTTTTATAATTTGAAAACAACTGATCATCAAGGTGGTGGGATATAACTCAATGGCAGAACACATGCTTATTAGCGTGCACAAAGCCCTAAATTCAGTCCCCAGCATGCCCCTCAAACTAAACAAAATTGAAAAAAAAAACATCATTTTCTTCTATGGGTTTATGAAAACTCTATTCCTACCATACTTAACTAAATGTTATACAACCCATCAGTCTAATAGAAAGGAGAAAACTAGGAGTTAAAATCTGTATAGGACTCCTAAACTGGAGTCATCTAGAACAGTGATGTCAATTATTGGAGAATCTATAGGAGCTTTCATTTCTAGCAAAAATATTGAGAGGGAAAGAAGCAGGAAGGAAAGAAAGGAAGGAATGCTAGTGAGGGTAAAACTCACTTACATAGCTAATCTTCTAAGAGGCTAAAAACCCCAGGGAGAAGTGCATGCAGAATCTGTGGGTCATGTGAGGTGACAATTTCCAATAACAGGAACCTAGAGCTTTGAGTTTAACAGGAATCAAGTGGTTATTAAATAGTCCTGGTTGTCAAGAGTGAGGAGAAAAAACAACCAGTCTGGGAATAGAGGTGCACACTTTTAATCCCAGCACTCAAGAGGCAGCATTAGGCAGATCTCTGTGAGTTCCAGACACCAGGGCTACAAAGTGAAACTCTATCTCAGGAGAAAGGGAGAGAGGGAGGGAAGAAGGAAGGAAGATCCATCATCAGGCAAGATAAATGAGTGCTCTGAGTTTAAAAAGAAATACCTTGGAAATGTGTAAACCTGGCCAGTTGATATATAGATATGTGTTTTAATTTTCACTACTTGTTTTGTCTGGGGAATGCAAACACAGGCAACGGAAATGGTTCTGCTTGCTAATGCTGGAAAACATGGCTTGAGGAAACATATACTGACTTAAAAAACAAACAAACAAACACTCCAAATCAGGACCACCACAATTCCCAAAGGAACTAATGAATATGCAAGATTGAAATTATGAAGACAATGAGAAAAAGCTGTACTTAATCAGACAATATTACTAGTAATTATAGTCTTATAAATTCACCAAGAACTTCAGATTGAAATTGTGAAATAAAAAACATATTCTAGATTTTTCAAAAGAAAAAAAAAAAAGGAGTACATGCCTTTGATCCCAATACTCATTAGACACTGGCAGAAGGACTGCAAGTTCAAGTACAGGCTGTGTTGCATGGCAAGTCTAGTCAAGGTACACAGTAAGACCCTGTCTCAAAAATACCAAAGATGAGGAATATAGTTCAGTAGGAGAATGCTTGCCCAGTGTACACATGGTCCTGAGGTCCTTCTTTAGCACAGGAGAAGCAGGGGAAGAAGTACACATTTTATGAACGTGAGACCATGGCACACACAGAGAACTTGTAGAAAGAAAAATGTCATAAAAAAAAGAGCATTACGAATCTGATCATGAGCGTGGCGGTGGTGGCACATGCATTTAATTCCAGCACTCAGGAGGCAAAGGCAGGTGGATTTCTGTGAATTCAAGGCCAGCCTGGTTTACAAAGTGAGTTCCACATCAACAAAAAACAAACAAACAAAAGAATCTGATCATAAATAGGCACAGAGAATTGGGGTTCTATGCAGTTTATTATTATATTTATAGGCATAAATTTTCTCTTAATTCTAAATTAGGTATGCTAAAAATGTTCAGTGATTTTTTTCTTTAAATAATATTCTCCATTTCTTTCTGCTTTTTCCTCTAAATATATTACCACTCATTTCATATTGCATATGTTTTAAGAACAAGTATAAGTTTTTTGGCTATACTTATTTTGAGTAATTTCAATCCATGGTGAAGTTCAATATTTCAGGAATTTCCTTAAGTTCGCCATATAGTTGAAACTTTTATAATAGATTACTGAGAAGAGAATATATCCACCAAAGAGACTTGGAAGCCACTTATGATGTACAGGATTAAGACATTTGCTGAAGAGCCTGATGATCTGAGCTCATTACCCTGAACCCACATGGTGAAAGGAGAGAGCAGATTCTTGCAGGTTGTCCTAGAACCTCCATATGCATGTTGAGGCATACCTATATCCCCTGCAACCAAATAAATAAAATGTAATAAAAAATAAATATAAAAACAGCTAAGAATAGAAGGATTAAGAGGTGGCTTGTTGGAGGTGTGGACTTGTAGGATAAAGTGTGTCACTGGGGGTGGGTTTGGGGGTTTCAGAAGCTCAAGCCAGGCCCAGGGGCTCACTATCTCTTCATGCTGCCTGCAGATCTCAGCTACTTCTCTAGCACCATGTCTGCCTGTATGCCACCATGCTCCTCACCATGATGATAATGGACTAAACTTCTGAAACTGCAGGCAACACCCCAATTAAATGCTTTCTTTTACAAGAGTTGCCTTGGTAATGGTGTCTCTTCACAGTGATTAAGACAAATCACAAAAACAAAAGTTGATTTTGGCCAAAAAGCTTAGAAGTTATTGACGTTGGTGGCGCATGTCTTTAATCCCAGCACTTGGGAGACAGAGGCAGGCGGATCTCTGTGAGTTCGAGACCAGCCTGGTCTACAAGAGCTACTTCCAGGACAGCCCCCAAAACCCAAAAAAAACCCTGTTTTAAAAAACAAAAAAAAAAAAAAAAAAAAAAAGCTGTGTGTTGTGATATGGCCCCTGCAGGGCAGTACCAAGAAGAATTCTGCTTGTGTACTCTTACCTGTCTCTTGTACGTCTCAAGCTGACCTCGGGCTGCATTAGCCTTTCTTAATTCTTCCTCCAGACTGACAGTGTTCTGCATGTACATAGTATTCTTTTCTTCTAAGAGTTTAACCTGTCGCCTCAAATCCCCAAGGTCTTCCAGCTTCTTTTTATAAGATTCGACTTGACCTTCTAGTTTAGATACTTTATCAGATGAGTGTCTAGAATGAGATGAGAAATTAGGCACAAACAACCCACAGATGTAAAGCTGTTTCAGACAATGTTAAAATAGGAGACAGATCAGGACTTAGCATGTATTAAATCATAAAACCTAAAGTGAATCCAGGTTTTGTTACAATAAGAAAAAAAAACATAACCTAAATTACAGAAAAATATGTCATTAAAAATGTCTAATAAAACGTTAAGGTCAAAAGGAGGGTAACCAGCAAAATCACACTTAGCAAAAAAGTAAAATAAATTGCGGAATGTCCAAATGATTTGGCAACTACTCTGTTAACAGTGAATCCCAGTTAAGGTTTCAGTAGAGAAATGGAGATAGAGAGTGGCAAATTTTAGAGGGCTGAGAAAAGCGTATGTTGTCTTTAAAAAAATATTACAGATACTTGTGTGGATGTGTAGGATTCAAGAGAAATGAATACTTGGTACAACACAGTCACTCTATAGGCAAGAATGCTTGAGAACATCAGAGTGAAGGTCTTAGTGCAGGAAGAAACAGAAGAAAGATGGGTGTGAATGCAGGGGGACATCGAGAGTTAATAGTGTACAGTTGCTTCCTCTTGGTAGGGATGGGGTGTGGTGGGTAGCAGACAGATGAGAAGAGTTATAAAAACATTTAACAGCTATGAGAGAAATGGGAGACAGGGCTATGTACTAGTGAGTAGTAGGCCAGGGGTAAGAGAAAAACATCTCTAATATGTGATAGGACTAAATTACAGAACTATATAATTTTCTCTCTACACTTTTAGTATTCTAAAAAACAAAAGAGGGAATATCAAAGAGGATGAGATTGTGAAAGAAATAGAATGGTGAGTAAGGCACCTACACAGAGAATACTTGACAGGAAGGAGAAAATGGCCAGCAAAGAAATAAAGCCAGAATTGAAGACAAAGACCAAGGGCATGGAGGGCTCAGAATTAAGTAAGAGCAGTAAGAAGTAAAAACTAGTGCTGGATAAGTGTGAAGGGATGGCCTAGGGTATTTAACATTTATCTGATACTTATTTGTCATATCAATTTATGTGTTATAAAGCCACTTACTTATTTACTTATTCACTGAAACTTTGAACACTTGTGTGCTCAGAGAAGTCAGAGTTTGTAACATCTGAGATGGACCTGTTCTGGGTAGCAATGAGTCTGATATTCCAGAGAAGGGAAACGGTTTACCTGAGAACGTCTATTTCATCCTTGAGAGATTGAGCTTCATCTGCCAAAGTGGTTAGTTCATCATTCTGCTGTCGAAGCTCAGAAATTTCCTTTTCTAACTCCTCACAGCGTATTCGATAATCATCTTTCGCTGCTTCTAGTCTGTAACCAAAACAAAATAGATAGAAGCACTATTCAGTGTGTTGTAATTCTACTTAGAAGAATAAAGAAAACAAAAAGACAAAGCATGTGAATGCACTCTTCTTGCCACACCCCTCACCTGTGTAGCCACAAGCTACCCTGTCACACCTGTCATGAAGACGGGTTTAATTGATTGCGTAAAGTATTCACAGCAGGGAACTAGAGGAAAGGTTCCCAAATTTTTAACTGAGAATATGTATCAAGAAAAGAAAAGCCATACTTAGGTCAATGTAAACTAATGTCAACATTTGTGGTGCCTATCACCCAGTCTTATTTCTGTTCAGACTACTCCCCAAACATGATTTAATACTATCCCCATATAATTAAACAGATTTGTTTAGTTGGCATACAACCTTCCTTTGATTACAAGGTCCTTCCTGTCTCCTGTTCAAAGTATTTCATGATATTGATTACTTACTTTCAATTTATAAATTTTATATAGTTCAACCGTATCTCATACGTTGTAGTTATTTCTTTTAGTGAACATTTTGGTATTTCTTTCTTTTAATCTTACATTTTCTTTCTTAAAGATTTATTTATTTATTATGTGTACAACATTCTGCCTCCATGTATTCCTGCATACCAGAAGAGGGCACCAAATCTCATTACAGATGGTTGTGAGCCACCATGTGGTTGCTGGAAATTGAACTCAACATCTCTGGAAGATCAGTCAGTGCTGTTAACCTTTGAGCCATCTCTCCAGCCCCTAATATTACATTTTCTAATTGCTGCTTGGGGGGCCAGCCTCCAAGCACAGGGTGGCACAGGACTCAAAGGGAAATCCACAGAGTAGGCATGTACTACTTTTCTATCTGAGGAAGTTAGGGAAAAAGAAACTTGTATTTTCTCTTGATGGTTTCCCTCTTTATTCTCTACTCCTTAGCGTTCCTACTGTGTTCTTTCATTGGCGGTTGATGAAAAAAAGGTACTCCAAGATGAAATTTTAAGGCCTATGTGACAAAAAGAAGGTCCAGCCTCTTCTGATAGGCTTAACTGGACTAGACTGGACCCTGAACAGCCATACAAAGACATATTTATTGATTGTTACATAAAATATTTCCTCATACCAAGGTCCCTAATCTTAACTTGCATGTCTTACTGAAGAGACCATCACATGCCTTCACCACTCTAGTCCCTAGTCATGTACAATACACAATATAACAGAAGAGCCGCAGGTATGACTGAGGCATCTTGTGACAAAAATCACTGGATGGCTGCAAAGCCCCTTCAGCAAAACAGTGATCCTGCTATATTCCTACAGAGCACAATTAAAATCATGTTTTTCATCTCCCTTACATGCTTAAAAACAAAATCACCCCAATAACCCATATACATTTACATCTAAGTAACTTGTTAAAGATTAACAGAACATGAACAAGCTGCATATAGTGGTTACAAAGAAAGAATCAATCATTTTACTACTGATCTTGAAAGTTAATCTTATAAAGAATCTTAAAGGAATCACAAACCTAAACTTCTATCCATAAAAAACAATCAGTCAGCTGTACTTTAGATATTTAGGATGCATACCCATTCATCAATGGTTTCTTCTATCAGAAGATTGAGGGTACAAGGAATTAATCATCACCTTTGATGATCTGCCAACCCTAGCAAGAAAATACTTCAAGTAGTAACAGTTGGACTGCTTAGTATTTTTGACCTCAGCTATGTGTCCTTGTGAACTTTAGATTGTTTCCTGGGGTTTTTCATCTTAAAGCTATTATCAAAACATCTGATCTAACCTGAAGTTATTACAAGGCTTTGTTTCTGCTAATGATGCACACCGAAACCTGTGATTTCGGCTTTCAGTGTTAAGATTAAAGAATTAGAGCCAGCCTAGCTCCTGAGATTAAATTGTTTCTCTTAATCATTAACTTGAGCTATGATCTATGATCTATGTAGCTCCTTAAGTCCTAACTGTGTAACAATTCTTTGTATTTACTTTTATTCATCAAAACTCTGTATAAGCTAACATCATTATTATGAATTAGATAGTACATCTTAGGGATGAATCATTATCATAATCCACAAGTAAAAATGCCCCAAATGAGATGTTTCCATGAGATAAACACATTATATTACAGGCAGTGGGGAATCTCCCCCATATCCATTCAGCCATGCCAGACACCAGAGAAAGACAGCAGCAGGCAACATGTAACGGCACAGCAGAAACAAAAGACATTCTGGGGTCTATGGTCTTGGGGCTTTGCCTAACCAAGACTGACCCATCAGGGAGTCTCCCCCTGGTAGGCTGACACCTTGAACTTCAACTGCTACCTGCTGCCCCTCTGAAATAGCCACTGGCATTTTCTGACAGATTATTAATGGTTTAAAATTTAACATTAAAGTTTTTTACTTCCCCTGACCCCATTTGGTACATGACAAAATATTGAAACTTAAACCCAATTTTATCTGCTATAATAATTTGTTTTACTAAGAATGATTTTAGATTTAGGAGTCAATTTCATATTTTCTTTTTTTTCAAATGTAATTTTTTTGGGGGGGGGGGTTTGAGACAGGGTTTCTCTGTGGCTTTGGAGGCTGTCCTGGAACTAGCCCTTGTAGACCAGGCTGGTCTCGAACTCACAGAGATCCACCTGCCTCTGCCTCCCTTGAGTGCTGGGATTAAAGGCGTGCGCCACCAATGCCCAGCTCAAATGTAAAATTAAAAATAATTTTATGTGTATAGATGCTTTGCCTGCATGTATGCCTGTATACCACTTGTTTAGCTGGTGCCTGTGGAGGCAAGAGGGCATTGAACCCTCTAGGTCTGAAGTTATAGATGGTTGTGGAGCAACATGTGGATGCTGGGAATCAAACACAGGTCCTCTGTTAAAAACTGAAAGTATTCTGGAGTGCTAAGCCATCTCTCCAGACCCTTCATTTCATATTTTCTGATTATTTCAACTTACCTTCATGCTTTACTAGCACTCTTCCTGCCTGTCTATCAATGCTGTGCTTGCCTTTGCTTCCCATAGAGTTCCTAGGCAGGCACTGGTAGGGTAGCTTTGGGGATGCAAGCTTGTGCTTGGTTTCTTCCCTTCACTCACTGTTATTTTGCAGCTGAAGCATCTGTGCCTTCAGAGTATATAGCATTGATGGAATTTTCCTAGGTGTGAAGGAATTTCATGATGTGTGTGAAGACTCTGAGAAGCTGTTTCATTATACAGCCACCTGGGTCTGCAGTTACCCACAAGTCCTAAAACTCTTAACTACGGGTGTGCATGTGTGTGTGATAGAGGATAACTTTTGGTCAGATTTGGTTCCCTTCTTTCACCATGTGGGTTCTTCAGCGTGAACTCAGGCAGTAAGGCTTTGGAAACAAGCACCTTTACTGGCTGAGTCATCCAGGCTCCTTCTATTTGCTTTAAAAGACTGTTTAAAATTTTAAAAAATAGATTGTAATGAGTGATCTTTTACCTGAATGTTTCCTCTTGAAGTTGCTCTAACTGAGTCTGAAGTTGCAAATGTCTTCTTCCTGCTGGACTATTGGGATCTTCTATAGAATCAGACTGATTGAGTCTTTCCATTAATATCTGATTTTCTGCCAGTAAACTACTTTTCTCCTCTTGTAGTGCTGCAACCTGTTGGAATTGGAAGGGCAATGATTATTCAACTCAAACTCTTGTGAATTATCATTATTAATTAAAGCATCTGCCTGATTATTTTTGCGATAGGTTCTTACTATGTATCCCTAGCTGACCTAGAACTCACTATATAGACCATTCTGGCCTCTGTCTGCTGAGTGCCACCTCACTTGGACAATCAATCTCCATTGAAAACATCTATATTATTTTTAATGTTATGCACACAAAGCAGCACGTAAGAGTAAGAATTTTAAAATTTCTATTTATTGTGAGATAGGATCTTGCTACATTGCTCAGGTATTTCAAATTCTTGGGCTCAAGTGATCCCTCTGCATCAGCCTCCCAGGCAGCTGGGATTATAGGTCTAGGCCACCACACCTGGCTTTACTTGATATTTGAAAAGAGACTTCACCAAGGATATACAGATGGTAAATAAGCACAAAGAAAGATACTAATCAATAGTCACCAAGTAAACGCAAACTGAAACCACAAAATTATCAATTCAACTCTCATGACAATGGATACAGTTTAAAAAGACTGAACCAACTATTGGCAAAGATGAAAACAAAGTCCCCTTGTGATCAGAATACAAACTATGAGGGCAGCCTGGTATATAAAGTAAGTTCTAGGACAGCCAGGACTACACAAAGAATACAAAATTCTTCAAACACTTTGGAAGAAATCGACCTCCTGGACCCACAGAAATAGCCAGATGTTGCCATGCATGCTTATAGCTCCAGTGCTGAGGGGCTGTGACAGGTAAATCCTGGAGCTTGCTGGCCAGTCAGAGAGCAGAGCAGCAGGACACTCAGAATTTTCGCCTAGCTTCTACAGGCACAGGTAAAGTACCACAGTGCCCTGTAATACACAAAAGGAAAAGGATGCCCACCCACTGAAAGTATGGAAGTGAGAGTTTACTGACACATGAAGAGTCAAGCACTCACATCACGTCTCTTCTTTTTCTTCTGGAAGTTTAATATTCATTTATAATGAGTTTAATTAAATTACAAAAAAGGGCAGGTAACATCTTTATATGCCATACTCTTCTAAATCAGAACCCTATTTGCTTGTTTTTCTTTGTTGTCTTATTAGGCTATATTATATTGAAACTGTACCATGTGACAATCCCGAGTACATTTGATGGTATTTGTGGTAGTATACACATAGAACCTCTTTACCTGCATATCCAATTCATGGCATCTTTGAGCAATTTCTTCCTTTGCTGACAAAGCTTCGTTTAGTTCTTCTGTAGTTTTCTTCAACTAGTTAGAAACAACAACAAAGCATAAGAAAGTTTCAATATAAAATGAAGACATTACATAGAGGTAACACAGAATTAAAACATTTTTACTTCTTGGGAGGTAGTATAGGGGAAATCAATACCCTCTCTGGTAAAGAAGAAAGTAAGCCAATTTTTTGTTTTGGGATTTATGCTGAGACAGGGTCTCACTATGCAGTTCTGGCTGGCCTTAAATTCCCTACATATTCCAGAAAGAATGGCCTCAAAATCAGGAGAGATCTGTCTGGCTCTGCCTCATGAGTACAGGGATTAAAAGTATGCCACCACACCTGGATTATTCTGATTCTTAACAAACATTTCCATGTCTGTTTCCTTATTATTATAAATTCTAAGTTAGCAAATTATGAAAACACTAATTAAAATAAAATTTTGTCTCCTTATTTCATATATATAAACCTCAGTCTAATAAAGATACAAAACCAAAAATGTAACCACAACAGCAAGGAAACAATACCACAAAGAGAAAGGTAAATTATAGCTTGGGTTAAAATTATATCATGTCCAAAGACTTTCTTATATAACACTTAGAAACCCTGAGCCAAAAATAAGAGAAAGCAAAAGATACGAAGTTCTGCTCATGCAGAATACTGTAAACCAAAAACTGACTATAACAGCATTTCATGCTTAAAAATACATTGCCAAGTTATTTTCTCAGCCAAGTGTGGCAGCTCACTCCTTTAATCCCAACACTTTAGGAGTCAGAGGCAGGTTGATCTCTTCGAGATTGACTCCAGCCTGGTCGATACAGCAAGTTATGAAACAAGAAGAAAATAATGGCTAGAAAACAGGGATTATTGCAAATTAAGGGAATTTGTTTTAAAATGAGATATGCAACGCTACTATATTTTTTCTGTACCACATTAATTCATTTCTCTGTGTGTGTGCATGTGTGCACACACATGCTCACCAGGGTGTGCATACCAAAATCAGGACAATCTAATGTATTGTGTTCTCTCCTTTTACCAAGTAGGTCCTGGAGGTTGAACTTATCACACTTGCCAGCAAGTGCCCTTCCCTGATGAGACAACTCACTGGCCCATGCAGTACTACTTTTACTACAAAGTCTAAGCTTAATTATAATTTGTAATATCAATTAGCAAAATAGCTTAAGTTCTTAAATGTAGGCAAAATATGAAATTTTTATCAATGTATTCTATAAGCAATTTCAACTGCATTCTTCACACTAATACCCAAAATTTATCTGCCTCAACTGTTTCATGAATACACAATTTTATATATATGTATATATATGTATATATATATATATATATATATGTATATATATACCTGGTGCTCAAGATCAACATAGGCATCATTTCCAGCAGAGACAGGAGACTCTTTACTCATTAGCTGAAATTAAGATTAAAATGATTATGAGGCAAAAAGGCATTCTAGGTAATACAACAAAAAGAACACCCAGAAACTACTAAAACAACAACAAATTAAAACAAAAAGCAAGCAACTGTTTTCTGTAATTAATTCTTCTGACTGTTTTTCACTTCAAGTAATGTTTACACTTAAAATTAAACATGTGAAATCTGGTGCTCATTTTCTTTGAGAGCCCCAGCTGTAAGAATCAAGCATAAATTTAATCGTATCACTATGCTAGGAGCATGGATAGACATTCAAAAACAGTGACTTTTCAGTAAGAAGAGCAACAGCAAGTACGTCTTTCATTGTAAATAATAAATGTGGAAAGGGAGAGTTGTGTTCTTCAGTGGTGCGCCCACTGTTAAGCTGGCCATGCTCCACCCACACTCCTGCAAGCAATCCTAATTAACACAGTGGATCACAAAACAACAGCGGCAACAAAAACCCCCAAGTTTTGAAAACTGAAAAGGTTATTATTGGGAAGGAGTTCAGTAGGAGGAGAATGAGAGAGTGTAATGGTGGTAGGGTATCAAAAGGACCAAAATGTATTCATGTATAAAACCATCAAAGGATAAGACTGAGAGAAACTGTGAGGCTAGACATGTCTCTCAGTGGTACAGTGCTTGCTTAGCCTGTGCAAGGCCTGGAGCCACATGCACAGAATTCTATCAACAGCAGCAAAACAAAACTGGAAAATGAAATGCCCTTTTATGAAAATGCCATAATGAATCTCATTACTTTGTATGTCAACTTTTAAAAAGGAATAAATATGGGCATCAGTGTTACCCCAAATTAATGACAGTACATGTACCCCTCCCTGGGTATCTTAGACTCAAAGAGTGTTAGAGAGGCTGAGAGGCAAGAGCACAGAATTCTCATCATGATACTGTCAGAGCAGCCTCACATGCCCCAGGTCCTTATGCTCTGTGTGGAGGACAGAGGGAGAGGACAATTAGAAATAAACAGATATAATATTGTGAGATCTTTTGGTTTCAGCCTTTACCTTTACTCTTTTGAAAATACTAAAATTTACAGATTTTTTGAATAATAAAGAAAACTAGTACCCATGTAGAAGAAAAATACCCAAATAAAATAATAAATGTTATCTTATTGCCAAGAAACAATCACTTTGAAAAATTTGAGATACGTGGGAATTGGCTGCCTGTACTAGCCAGGCCCAAGCAGAGTTAAAAAAAAAAAAAAAAAAAAAAAAGGCAAATACAGTAACATATGATAAAATCTGCAACAGAGGATGGGAGAGGGGGACTGTCTCGGTTTTCTTCCCCCTTCTTCTTTTTCTCCTATTTTCATTCTTATCCAACACAGCAGCTACTGCTCTAGGGAAAGCTAAACATCCCATTCTAAACATACCCTTCTCTTACTGCAGGTATTTTATCTGATTTTATGCAGACCTGCTCCTCAGCTTCACTGAGCTCCTGGTGCTGTCCTGCTTTACTCTTGCCAGATTTCTTGCTTATTATTCCTAGACTTCATAGTTTACAGGTTAATTCTCTTTCTCGTGCTAACATCATCATCTTTGGTGCCTTTCCATCCTTATATTAGGATTCATAGCTCTTGTTTTGTGAATATGTGTTTGTTTCTCCCTCTTTTTGTTAAGACATGGTTTCTTACGAACCCGATTGGCCTTGAATTCCGTATATAACTGAGGATGACTTTAGCTTCTTTTTAAAAGAATTATTTTATTTATTTTAAAAAAAGACTATATTATTTATGGTATACAGCATGTTTTGGTATACATACCGTGGAATAGTTAAATCAAGCTAATTAACATACCCATTTCCTAAAAAATTTTTTTGACAGAACACATTTAAATTGTTGACACATTAATTGTACAGCTGGGCTTCACTGTGCTATTTCCATACATGCATAAACTGTACATTGATAATTTCTATCTTTCTTGTATATTGCTCTCTTCCCTTCCTTCTCTTGACACCCTTCTCAGACTGTTAACTCTTCTACTCACAAGTTGTTAGGTTTTGGTTAAGATAGGATTTCATGTAGCCCAAGTTAGCCTTAAATTCAATATGCAGCCAAGGGTGACCTTGAACTCCTGCTCCTTCTGCCCTATCTCCTAAGGGCAGGGATTACAGGTGTGTGCCATCATGCCTGGCTTCTTTTTAGTTTCCACCCAGGGGAGAGAATATGTGATATTTGTCTTTAGCTTATTTTGCTTAACATGATGTCCTCAAGAACTGTTCAAGTTACCTTCTAACTCTTCTGTCTCCGCTCCCTGACTTTGGACATGTATGTATGTCCATCAATCTAACCAGAGCTGGGCGGTGGTGGCACACTCAAGGCAGAGGCAAGCAGATCTCTGTGAGTTCAAGACCAGCCTGGTCTACAAGAGCTAGTTCCAGGACAGGGTTCAAAGTTACACAGGGAAACCCTGTCTTGAAAAACCAAAAAACCAAACCAAACAAAAGAAAAAACAAAAACCAACCAAACAAAAAGATCAACCCAACCAAAGATCAATCTAACTACCTATTTTCTGCCCATATTCTGACTAGTTAAGTACTGAAAGAGAGGAAGCAAAATAAACAAACAAAAAACCCAAAACAAACAGAAAACAACCAAACCAAAACCAACAAAAGTAATATTATTGTAAATGTTTCTATAATCTCCACCAAACTTCAAATTTGCTTGAAAGTAATGCTTCCTAGCCAGGAAACTGTGTATCCTCTTTAGATTCTTTTAACTTTTTTGTCCCTACTACTTATTACTTGATACAAATGAGTGTTTGTCTGCATGTATATCTATGTACCACATGCATTACTGGTACTTAGGGAGACCAGGAGAAAAGGCTGTTGGACCCCATGGAACTAGAGTTACAGTTTTGAGCCACAATAGTAATGCTGGGAATCAAACTCAGGACCTGTGGAAGAGCAGTCAGTGCTCTTAACCACTGTGCTCTCCAGCCCCTTTCAATCCCTTTCTATTTCTCATTCTGATTAACTCTGTGATTCCATAAAATCCCATTTCCAGGTAAGAATTTTTCTATGGCCCAATCTACAAAACCAACAGCACCTCCTCCCCTTCTTCTTCACTGTTAACACACATAGGAAATTCTTCCCTTCCAAAGCTACTCTTGCTACCTGTGGTCTTCATTTAGTTTCTTAAAAGCTCCCCCAAAACCCTGTTCAATTTATTACCAGTCTTCTTGCTTATAAAAACCTTAGCCAGGCAGTGGTGGCACACACCTTTAATCCGAGTATTCAGGAAGCAGAGGCAGTTGGATCTCTGAGTTTGAGGCCAGCCTGGTCTACAGAGTGAGTTCCAGGACAGCTAGTGCCACACAGAGAAATCCTGTCTCATAAAACAAACAAACACACAAACAAACACCATTAACTTTGGTCTCCTTTTCCTGTGTGTACTTCCTACTAACATCTAAGTAATAAAAAAAACTTGAATAGATTGGTATCTCTTGGGGCTGAGATATAGTTCACTGACAGAGCATACTTGGCACCTGGGTTTGATCTCTGCTACCATATGCTACCACCACTCCCAACCCCCTAAATCACTAAAGTTCAAGTGATGCTTCTCTAAAAGAAATAACAGAAATGGCCAACAAAGGCATAAAAGGATGCTCATTATCACCAGTCACTATAGAAATAAACAAACAAACACAGTAACTATAAAGTGCTACTTTATATTTACCAGGAAAGTTATTCCAGAATTCCATTTCTGAATACTGATGCTCAACTCACAATGGGGTCACATGCCCAACCCCCCAGTTTCACAAGTTAAAAATGCACTGAACACACCTAGCCTCCTGAATAAACAGATCTGCAACATGGCCCACTCTAGAATATTAACTTTATGACCATGTAGCTGGATTTGGAAAAATGCAGCACACTGCTGCTGCTACAAAACATCATGTAGGTCTTTTTTTCTCTCCCTGGACTTCCTTCCCTCTCTCCAGGGTCTCATTTAGGCTGACCTTGAATTCCTGATCATTTTATCTCTATCTCCTGAGTGCTACAATTATAGACTTTCACCACAAACAAACTTTCAAACATGACCAGCAGGTCTTGTTTTCCATTTGCTTGTTGGATTCTACAATATTTTATACCTTCCTTAACTCTACTTTCCAATCACCTCACCTCATCCCTGAGTGACCTTATTTAATGTTCCCTTCAGATGGTTCTGCATTTCCCCCTTATAGTACTTTTGAAACTGTATGAATTCTTTTTGACCATTATCTCTCTAAAACTCAGAGAGTAAGACACATACTATATCAGAGAGAGTATCTTTTCACAACTGTATCCTTATTAGCTGCTACAGTCTCTGATGTACACTGGGTTTGAACTAAGTGTTTGCTAAATGAATAAAATCAATATGCACAAAATAGACACAAGGTACTTCAAAACTTAATTAGGATATAGGGTACACACTATAAAAATAGAAGTTTTCTGTTTGTTTGTTTTGTTTTCCAAGTCAAGGGTTTCTCTGTGTAGCCTTGGCTGTCCTGGAACTCATTCTGTAGGCCATGCTGGCCTCAAACTCACAGAGATCTGCCTGCTTCTGCCTCCCAAGTGCTGGGATTAAACACGTGCACCACCACTACCGGGCAAAAATAGAATTATTTTGTAAAATTGCTATTTCTCTTGTTTGAACTATTGTTTTTTCCTTTAGTTTGTCACAAACAAGTGCAAAGCTCTAATCAACGTACCTCTTGAATGGCTGTCATGACAACATGCTGAACAGATTCCTCCATCATCATAATGGCTTGAATGTACTCTGAAAACAAGAATAACCTGGAATGTCACTGTTCAAGTTAAGAGATGGTCAAGAGGTTGAAAGCTAATATTCTATAAACCCTTATAAGCAGTTTTCTGTGTTTTGATTCTCCCTCAGAATCCCCTATTCATGTCTACTCTGCTCAAAATATGTGCCACAGAGAAGCAAAGACTGAACACCAAAATGTTAACTTTTCCCAAAGATATTTTGTTCTTGCTTCACATATATTTGGTTGACACTGGGTCTTGTTAGCTGCCCTCCACTCACTTTGAATCCTAGGTTGGCCTTGAACTTGTGATCTTCCTGCCTTAGTCTTTTAGAGTACTGGGATTATTGGGATATACTACTGTACTTGGCTCCTTTTACCATTACCTATAAAGCTGATGCTGTAGGTAAAGGTCAGGGAATGCAGCTTCAGCATGAGTGCACATCAGAATAAATCAGTGAAATAGCGAGACTCTAAGTCAGGGAGAAAAAGAACCACATCACTTTTTCTACATACACTCTGAAAGTTATCTTTTCTATTATTCGTTGTTATATGATAAAAGCACTCTGATTTTATTCTTATGTGACATCAAAACACTAAGTTATATAAATTCTTACCTTAATTTTATTTACTATACAAAGAAATAACTAAACTGAATTTAAGATAGACACTACTATATAATCCTGGGCTTTAAAATATTATCCTGCACCTTTATTTGCAAAGCAGAAATCATTCTCATTTTCACCCAGGCCAATACCAGAAGGGTCTCAGTAAAGTCACTCTAGAAGTAATATCTCTTTCCTTTGACAAAACCCTGTTAATAGTTTTCATTACTTCCAGATTCAACAGTGGATGACAGAAGAGGCTTAAGCATTAAAATAAATGAACATGACAGGCACCCTCAGAGTTGTAGTACAGAGGCTCTTACAAAATGTACAAACACTGTCATTAGACAAGTCTACTGGAATGCTGAGCATAACCCTCTCCCCAGCAGGTAACTTGGCTTTTGTTTTAAGTATTTTAAAAAACATCATGTGATATTATGACATCAAACACAAGAACTAGCACATCTAGGATGACTGTCAGCTCCTCAAAATTAAAGACTATGAATGAACATGGAAGAGAAGACAGTGGCATTGGTATGGGGGAGGGAAGCTTAATGGCAACTACTGGAGGTGAAGGAAGTAACAGTAAAAAGAGGTCAGGACATTAGTAGGTATGAGAGGGGAAGCGTTAGTTAAGAAGCGGTGTTGCCACGTCAAGGCCCTTCCCCGCGAACACCGTAAAGTGCTAAATGATAAAATGGTGATGACAGCTAAATTAATATGCACTACTTTAAAATTAAAAATACAATTATGTATGATTATTTGGTACATACCCATGAGGCAATGCTGGAGAATGAGGCAAACAATGTAAGGGAGCTTACCCTCAATTTTATCTGTTTAAAATTTTTTAGTATGATTTAATACAAATAGAAAGTTTAAAGGCAGAAGAAATATGTGTGCTTTTTTTTTCTTCTAGCACATTCACTACAAGTAAGAAATTTGGGGAATCTTGTAATATTTATAAGTCCCAACCTTCTAATCTATAAAAAGTATTTTTTTGTTGTTGTTGTTTTGTTATTGCATAGTAGAGTAGCAGAATGAAGGCAGATACCATGGGCTGGCAAGAAGGCTCAGTAAGGAAAGGTGCTGCTTGCTACCAAGTCTGGTTACTAGACTCTGATCCCAGGATCCAGAATGGATAGAAAGAACTGACTTTCACAACATATTTATTGACCTCCACACGCACATACTGTACCCCCCATAAATAAATGTTAAAAAAATCCTACTACCCACCCCAACAAACCCAAAACACAAGGTCAATGTTATTATCAATGTGCCTTCTACTACTAATCTGTCTTTTAAATTTATCATTATTTTATTTGCCCCAACTAGAGGTCAGCAAAGACAAATACAGTCATGCTCTCACCAACTGCTTTTAACTTTTCCAAACTGAAACAATGGCTAAACACAAAGCAAATACAGACACAGTTTCATTCAGTCTTCATAGCTAAGAGATTTTTGTGGATAAGGGCACAGGCAGAGAATATCTCATCTACAGGTAGATAGTAAGTTGCTGAAGCACTTCTGAGAGCCTCCTATTCTATCTTTCCACATTATACATTCAGTGACAATTAATGATTAACAATGAAAAAACTCACTTACATGATTCTTAGCTCTCTACTGTATTCCTGAAACCAGAGAATATCATAAATCTGGGTAGGTGAGAGATTAAAAATCTTGTTCAAATGGAACCTTCCTCCTTCCTGACTGGGTAGCTTATATAATGTTGGAATGTACTGTACAGAGCACTAAGGGATTTAAGTCACCAACTATTTTAACCAGTTGTGTGAACTCTGCTAATAATATCACTTGCCAGACAGAATGTGACCACTAGTGCAATAGTGGCCTGAGTGTTATGGGAGTAATCAACCAAGTTCTACTTGGATTTTGGGCCTGCTCCACAGGAGGAAATCATATTTGGTATGTGATTCTGGTCAAAAGCACATGGTTGGGAAGGTCCATAGTCCCTGGATGGGGTGAACTTACTTACTGTTGTTTTGCTATATGGAACTGATGTCAGACAGTCATCTAAATATTTATGCTTATACACACAGATTGGTGCTGTTCTCACTCTTGGTCAGAAAAGCTTCTGTTTTCAGTGGGCAATGATTAATACAGAGAGACTCATAACTGAATAAGTGCTAATGCGTGCTCAGTCCTAGAATGAGACCTCTGTCTCATGCCTCCAAGGCTCCAGGGGCACTGTGGAGGGGAGGGGGGGAAGAATGTACACACTAGAGGACAGGGAAGAGTGCTGTGAACTGCTAGTGCACCCATGAACCCATAACATTAATGGCTACCTGCACTAGATTGGGGCTATCAATGTTCCACCATTTAAAAAAGACTTTTAAAAGAAATACAGTTTAAGAAAAGAAAAGCAATTCTAAGAACGGGAGTGAGTTAGTGAGCTGAGGGAAAAGCCCCAAAGTCTATGATGACTATTAAACTACTAGAATATAGTATTCATTACTAGAATACAAAACCAGTACAAACTTGATTTGCATTATCAGATGTGGAGGAAATAAAAGTGAACAAGACAGGGTAGCTTTGAACAAAAACCCAAAAATAAACCCAACAACAACAACAAAACAAAGCCTCAGCTTCAATTTGAAATAATTACAAAATACTACTTATTATTCTGAAAAGCCCTTGACCCCTGTTCTCCAGCAAGACTTCTTTCAATTCTTTCTTTACTATGCAATTATAGTTTTGTGGGTTTCTAAGGTTCTGAAAGATAACTTGAGTTATGTATTACTTTGAGTTATTCTTAACCAGCTATCCTTCAGAGCTTTACTTAAATAACTTTCCTAACACCATGTCTAGACTCTCCCATTACATCTTACCTTCAGAGCATTTATCATTACTCTGTAAATACTTGTGCTATGTTTTTTTTCCCCTCCATTCAAGCTCTATGAAGGCAAACTTTATGTCTATTTTGCTTGGTACCCCAGTCCTCCTCCATAATATCAGTTCAAGAAATATTTGTGACATAAATATAATCTTCTTTGGACCTGGGAAGATGACCCACTGAGTAGGAGTGCTATGCCAGCATTAGGACCCAAGTTAAAATCTCTAGCACCCAAATAAAAGATGGGGATAACTGTACATGCCTGTAACCCCAGAACTGGGGGCAGACGGACAGAGTTTAAGACCTCTCTAGCCAGCCAGCCTAGCCAAAAGGGGGACTTAAGTTTGTAGGACACCTTGTCATAAAGAGTAAAGTGGAAGATGATAGAAGATGAAATCCAATATCCTTGTATGGCCTCTGTATGCAAATGCATGAGAGGCACACACACATATACACACACACACACACACACACACACACACACACACACACACACACACAGAAAAACCCTCCCAAAGCAAAAGCAATGCATTCACTTTATGTATAGTAAATATGAATGAATTTTAAATAAGTGATCTTCATACAAATAAGTCACATTTTACAAAGGGATTTTAAAAACCCTACAAACAAAAAAAATCACATCATTACTTATGTATCAAAGCTGGTCTTACAAACTGGAATTGCTATACACATAAAAATACTGTACTTTTTCTAATATCTGCAATCTGAAGTTAACTTATTAAAAACTTGCTAACTTCTGTAAGTCTAATTAGTGTTTACTAGTTTACAGTTCATTTATTTATAGCATGAATATGACTCATCCCATAAATGCCACCTAGTAAGTGACATTTAAAAATTCACTTGCAATGGAAAATTAGTTTTCTCCAATGGCTCTCACTGGGTATAATAAACCACACTGAAGGACAAGTTCCATGCCTAGCACTATATGGTCAACATAAAACGAACTTAATGGTTCCTTTTGCCTCTCACTCCTTTGGTTGAACAAAATATTTTTTTCTCACTCCTCTTTTGTCTGTATATTATGGTTGATCATCTTGTGTTTTTATGGATTTCAGTTGTGTTTGTTTTATTTTTTATTTTATTTTTTTTCCTTTAAAGAGAGAGAGAAAGGAAGAGTTGTATGAATGGGGAGATGGGAAAGATATAGGAGGAGTTGGGAAGGGGAAATCATGATCAGAATATATTCTATGGAAAAGTTTTCCAATAAAATACATGGTGGCTTTGGCAGGTATGGTGGCACACGCCTATAATCCCAGCACTCAGCATTCGGAGGCAGGCAGATTTCTATGGGTATGAGGCCAACACGGCTTACATAGCAAGTTCCCGGCAAGACAGGGCCACACAGTGAAGATACTGTCTCAAAAAAATTGTGGCTATAAGAATTTATAATATATAAATGAAATGCAATGATTGTTTCAAAACGCTATATATAATATATATTTTAAAAATCACATTTCCATGAAATTAACATTGTTTGAAACATTACTATGTACAAGAGACTGTGTTATTTTACATTTTTGTTACTTAGACCCCTAATAATCTTGTGAGGTAGGTACTAAATGTTCATTTCCAAAGAAAATAAAATAAAGATTAGATTTGCCCAGTATATGTCTCCATAGGCTGTACGAATGCAACTATATTTGAACACAGAGTGACCGAACATTATAGCCTGTACTCTTATTCTGAAGCACAAAAATATTTCCTAAGCTATCATTTTGCAAACTAAATTAATAAATATTTTAATAATAATAAATACCACCATATCCAATGTAGTTAAAATGCATTAAGAAGAATGTATTCAGCTGGGTGGTGCTGGTACAGGCCTTAAATACCAGCACTCAGGAGGCAGAAGCAGGTGGATCTCTGTGAGTTTGAGGCCAGCCTGGTTTACAGAGCAAGTTCCAGAACAGGTGCCAAAGTTACAGAGAAACACTGTCTTGAAAAACAAACAAACAAACAAAAAACAAAAAGCAAATAAACAAACAAAAGAATATATTCAGGCTGGGGATGTAGCTCAATAGTATAGTAAATGCTTAGTATGAACAAAGCACCACTTCCACAGCCATCATAAAAAATGAACATAACAACATAAAAACTATTCAATTAGATAGTCAATTAGATACAGAAAGGGAAGGAATATGACCGTAATCAAAATTAGACTACCTTTTAGAACTCATTTAAGCTTGAAGGCAAATTACCAGCAAAGCTGTAGAACATGGGTAGCCATAGAAAGATGCCATTGATCTTGGTGCTTTATATATTAAATATATGTAATATATATTACTTTCATTAGTTACCTTGCTTCTGTTCACAGTTCACGGCACAGCCTAGAATGAGTTGGAGCATCCTTCCGAGCTCTGCTGCATCAGCATGCTCCCCAATAAGGTTCACATCAGGAAGGGTAAAATCATTAATCTGCTGTCCTAAAATCTGAATGGAGACAAAGAGATTATAATTGCATTCATATTTATAGCACCAAATAAAATATTTAATAGAGATCCATTTATTATCATCTGAATTCACTGTCAAGGCTCGAGTTGTTTTGCCAACTTCACTCCCAACCTCTATTCTTATTTCTCACACCTCAATTACAGCTATCATGTGATGGGGGAAGTGCTTCTGTGTATGTGTTTGTCTTACTGGATGATAAATAAAGTACTGTTTGGCCAATGAGGCAGCAAGTTAGGGGGACTAGGAGTCGAAGAGAATTCTGGGAAATGTAGTAGAGAAGTAGTGATCCAGGCAGGAAGTGACATAGCAGGGAGACTCATATTTAAGGAAGGACAACCAGGAAGTACGCCTCTTTTCCCCTTGGTTCCTGCTCCAGTGGTGCTATGTGGATCCACCGGCAAGAGAGGGCACCAGCGGAAGGCATCCTCTATAAGATAAGTCTTATAAAATATGAGAATTAAGACAGAGCTAACAGACGAGAAATCCTAGTCATTGGCCAAGCAGCATTGTACCTAATATAAGTCTCTGTATTATTTTGTCCATCCACGCAGCAGGCAGAACTCAAGCGGTTTACCGCCCACGTGGCGATAGGGCTTGAGGGGCTTTTGGCGGAAAGATTTATGGTAACAATCATGTATCCTGGCAATTTAGTACTTAACCTGATATATGGTATGTACGCTGAACAAAAATCCATATACTATTGATCCTCTGCTGATCTAAGAAAGTTTGGATGTTTGCTCTCTGATGAATTATAACCAGAATGGTCTAAACTAAAGAACATCCAAGACAGTTGTGATTAAAGAGGAATTCACACTACCACAAATGAGATTCCCCCTTTTACTTTGTCTCTAAAACTGTTGGTAGTGAGACATTTACAGGAATGGGAATGGAAGACCCCTTTAGTGGAGAATGTGTAAAGAAATGAGAATCTCTCTGTTGGATAGCCTGCCAGCGAAATCCCCTTAGAGGCAGGAGAAATAGACAAGTTGGGAAAGAACCAGCCTACTTCCATCCTTAGCACTACATAAACCAGGCATGGTGGTCATGGGTATCATCCCCGAATTTAGAAGAGGCAGAGAATCATAAGTTCAAGGCTACCCTTGGCTCTACAGGAATATACCATCAATTCAATTAAATTTAATTCTTCCCTGCACTCTCCAGCAGTAATTAAAAACAAGAAGGAGAAACTGTTCTGCAGTTCACGGAGACCTCAAAAACCAGAAGTTCTGTTTCTTGTCCTTGAGCCAGGGATGTACTTGGAGCCATCATAATTCTGTCCTGACCAGAGGCCCAAAATGTCAAAAAACATTCAGAGGCGCTGGTTTTTGTTCTGGTTCCTTGTTATCATTCTTCTAGGTTTATAAAGCAAACCAATGAGTACAGCTGCCTGGAAGCTATGAATGATCAGGTGCTTCTCTGATCCTTGAAGGTGTGCCAAAATTCCAGTCTAGCCACCAGGATGTGAAGGTGTTAATAAATACCTTGTGTGTGGGACAACTGGCCTGACAAGCTCACCTCCCATGCCTCAACCCAGTAAAGCCTTATTAATTCCTAATAAGACTGTCAGTTGTAATCCTTTCTTGCTTCCTTTCTCTTAAGTTATCTTCTCTAAAATGCCTTTCTAAAACTTAACCTGTTGTTTATGAAATTCATCTGTGAGTTCACACACAAAGGACACAGAAGCCACTAACCTGGGGTAGCTTTAGTGACCAGGCACAAAGATGTGCTCTTGGGAATAAAAAAAATATAATAGAAATTTCAATGGGCAAGCAAGAAAGGTATGCAGTTGTCTCAGGAGTAGATAAAACACATAAGCAGTCAAAAGAAAATTTGATTAAATAATTAAAGAAATCGGAGTAATTAAAGGATCAATCCAGGAGGCTCAAAGGCTCACTGGGACTTCTACAGAATAAACATTAAAAATGAAGTGGAAAAAACTTCCTAAAACTAAAACTAGTAGGTGTTCAGTTTTTAAGCATTTGCTAAGTGTTGGCCAAGCATAACAAAACAAAACCCATACTCAAAATGCACCTCAAATTGAAGCACATTTTCATGAACCTTTAGAAATAAATAAAAGAAAATCAACCCTAAATAAAGAAATTGACAAAAGGCAATGGGAATCCACATGAGAGATTTCAACAGCAAATCTAGAGGAAGCTCATGAACAATGCTACAATGGCTTCCAGTCACAGCCAAAAAAACTCTCAAGGAAGAAATAAATGTCAAGGCCTGAACTTTGGCACATACTTTTCTGAAGACCACACTGTTAAAACATGCTCATCAGTATAAAAGTAAACCAGGAGCTGGGCATTGTGGGCATGCCTTTAACACCAGCACTTAGAAGGCAGAGGCAGGTGATCTCTGTGAGTTTGATGTCAGCCTGGTCTACACAGCACATGACACCTTGTCTCAAAAGCAAAGTAAACCAGAAAAGAGAAATGTAAGCACACAGAGTCAGTAAAAGGAATGTGATAGAACAGAGGAAGAGGAATTCCCAGACTGAGTATGAAAGGCAATGACAGAACTGTTCTTGTTGATTCTAATTAAGAATGAAAACACTTATGCTTTATTGCAGAAATCTTAATACAGCAGGCACTAAGCCAGAACCCTCTGGGAATATTCGCAAAACAGAGGATATAGGTAACATGTTACTCTTCTAGAGTTTGAAAAAACCCTGAATTTTAAAATGGACCTCATCTAAAGATCTGAGTCAGACTATGGACCTTCATAAATGTTTCTGGAGGTACATTTATGTAGATGTCTACAAAAGTGTAGACTATATTGCATACACAGTCCTAATAAAAACATTTTTATGATTGAATACTATTTGCCTAATAAATATTTCATAACTTCCTTGTTGCAAGACATGTGGCTTATTTTCAATTTTGCATCCTATAAAATAACATGAAGGTGAACAGCTCTAAGTAGTTTTATTTTATTCTACTTTTTTTTTTTGAGACATGGGTCACTATGTTGCCCAGGATGGCTTCAAACTCCTGAGTAGCTAAGCCAAATAGTTTAAATTTTTTTTTTTCTGAATATAGAGTTACTGTGTCAGGGTTGGAGTGGCTCAGCCTCAGGAAGTTCAATGGCTACATACAGAGATAGAGGCCAGCCTGTCTACAGGGAATCCTGGTTTTTGTTTTTGTTTTTTAAATACTGTTACAAAACTTTTATAATAAACAAGTATTCTACCTTCATGAGGTATATGGAGCAAGGAAAAGACATATAAGGCAAATAAAGTAACTGCAGAAAAAAATACATAATTACAAACTACAGCCAGTGATAAAAAAGGAAAGAACACTCAATGATTAGGTTAAAGGGGGAACTTGGCAGTGAATATGTAGTAGGGACTCACTATGTGTAGTTGCAAAACAAATACCAATGCTGAATACTTCAGCCCTAGGTATATAATGTCTGTGTTCTGAAATATCTGAAGGATGAGGTGAGTTCACCTAGGGTCCAGGAGCTTGCTGATGAATAAAACCCAAGCAACAGGGCCAACCACAATAGTCCAAATGAGCTCTGAACTACCTTTACAAGCACAAAAAAGAGAAGAGAGTATAGTATAAAACAAAACTTAACATACTGTAATAGCCATGCACAAGTTACTCATAACAATGAGGATTACTGATGTTTTCACGCCGAAAAGATGACTGGTTATTTGAACTGACAACCTCAAAGCTACACAGGGGAAGATAGTTACTATTAATTTTGAAGTGTTTTTTCTTTACCTTGAGACTATAAAAAATTTAAACTATTCTGCAATATTTCCAAGTAGAATGAGAAAAAAGATCTTACCTCATGATTGTAATCCAAGATTCCTTTTAAAATTTTCTTTAAATTACTAATCTGTTTGAGAGAGAAAAAACTGGGTGAAAGGTAAGCACAGACCATAGTACAGAGTGACACTAAAAACTCAAGTGACTCACAGAAGTTCTCATCTGCCTTTGACCTTCCTCAGACAGTTAAATTTGCATTGGATTAAATATGCCATATTCTGCCAATCACCCTTGTGACCTGGCTGAATTTGTTCAATGTTAGTACTCAGTACGTTAGTTATGACTCTTCCATATAATGAAATACCTGGGATCAGATATGTTTTGGATTTAGGGTTGATGATGCTCAACCCAAAGCTAGAACAATATATCCTAGAACAAAAGACAATACAGCCTGAGATTATTGAATGAAAGAGACTGAATTTTTTAGTTACTACCTTCTGGTTTAAAACATTTTTAAAAGATATACTTGATGTGTATGAGTGTTTTGCTTGCATGCATGCATGTATGTATGCATGTATGTATGTATGTATGTATGTATGTATGCATGCATGCATGTATGTGCACCATGTGCATGCCTGTTGTTCTTCAAAGTCAGAAAAGGATACTGGATCTTAGAATGGGAGTTACAGATGGTTTTGAGCCATCATGAGGATTGCTGGTTCCCTAACCTAGGTCCTTGCAAAGTAACAAGTGTAATGAGTGCTCTTAACTGCTGAGCAATCTCTCCAGCTCCTGAAAACATTTATTTTTATGAGAGAAATAAACTGAAAAGTTGCTTATTTATTAAAAACAACAAAACAAGCAAGGTGTGCTTGCCTATGCTTGTTAATTCAAGAGATAAGGGCAGGAAACTGAATTTAAGGCAGATCTAGGCTATATAGTAAACTATCTAAAAAACAAAACCAAGCAAAACAAACAAACAAACAAACAAAAAACTAGTATCATAAATAAAATTAACATTTTCTATTTCTGGAAAAAATTGTATTTGGAAAATACATATTTCCTTTTTTGCTCTTCTAAGCTGTCATACAACACCTGAAAGTGGAACACTTTAAAACTGATACAGTATTAAAATAGTGGTTTTCCCCATGGCAAAATGCTACATTATCTTATTTTAACTAATGGCATCATACAGTTGAAGAATCAGTCCATAGCAAGGTTATAGTACCTGCCATAGAGAATAAGTGGTAGAGCTACAGTGTGAGCACAGGTTTCCTGATTCCAAAATCCAGCCATTAATAGGTTTTACTGACTTACAGTACAGCATATCGTGGTCAAGCAGTATGTCAAGTTACTACTAATCTTCAATTCCAAAGTATTTTGCTATAGACTTCCTAAATAACCCTTAATCTCACTGGAAATAGTAGATAAAAAAACAAACAACAATAAAAAACAAGTATTACATATCTGGTGGTTTGAAAGAAAATGGCCCTAATAGGGAGTGGCACTATTAGGAGGTATGGTTTTGTTGAAGAAGTGTGTCACTGTGGGGGTGGGCTTTGAGGTCTCCTTTGCTCAAGCTATAGGTAGCACACAGTTGCTGTTAGCATTTAGTACTAGCCTGTCCTTGTGATCCTGGATACAGGATATACCCTCAGCTGTAGCCACTAAGAGCACCACCTGTGCATATTCATGATGTTCCCTTTTAAAAGGGCCCGGCCCATCTCTCATCCTCTCTCTTTCCCTGTCTGTTCTTCTCTCTCCACTCCCTTCCCCCTCTACTCTCTCCTGCTGCTCCTGTCTCCAGAAGTCGGGCTCTCCCCTTCCCTTTCCCCTTTTTATGACCCCCCCCCAAAAAAAGCCCGCTGTTTGAACCCTGTTACATGGCTTCTTTAGGCTCTCCTGGCATCTCCTCCTGCCTGCAGGCAGTTTGAGGCAAGCCAGGACCCTGAAACCTCACTTCTAATGGATTGCTGGGTCCTTCCATCCAAAATAGTCATGATTGGTGAGCCATTCCACTTTAGGCTATTCCTACGGAGTGAGGACTCATCTCTTCTTGAGCAGGGTTTCTCACCTTTTGGCCTCCTTAAGTCCTGGTATCAGGCAACCATGGCTTCCCAGGTTCTGAGCCCTTGGCCCCCACCCTTTGCACGATGACTCACTGGGTGGCCTGTGCCAGTCTCTTTCTCAGACCCTCTGGTCCTTCAGCCCCAGCCCCTTGATTGACACATCACTGAGGCAGCTTGTGCTTTTCTCGCTCGATCCTTGCTTGATAAAAGCCATTGGGTCTTGTTCTGCCTTACTCATGTGGAATAAGCCTACCAAAAATCCACTTCCCAGCACTTTGTAATCACTTCATGCTGGGACCCTACCCACCTGCTTCACCTTCAATAGATCTGTTCTCTTCCACCTGCAACAAATCTGCTTTTTCATTTGCTGATGGCTTTGCCTTCCATTTAATACCAACAGTTGGGTCTCTGGTGGGGTTATCCACTACTGACCATTCCCCTGGATGTGAGGCTTCCTTTCTCTAGCACAGTTCTTTCTTTACCTTCTGGCTTTTCTCAAAGTCCTGGTACCAGGCAACTGTGTCTCTCTTGGATTCAGAGCCTTTGGCCCCCACCCTTTGAATGACAACTCACTGGATGGCCTGTGCCTGAATTCCTGGGACAATAGGAATTGCAGACCCATGGATCTTACTTCTCCCTCACTCATGGGAACTGTGTCATCATCTATACTTCCTTGCTCCCATTGGGATGTTTTTTGGAGACCCACTGACCATTCCTAATCAGCTATTGTTGCAGCTGTTGGCAATAGAGCCGGAAGGGCAAGACTACCAAACATGTCTGGGTGATGTTGTAATGATGGGAAAAGATCAGGTGCTTTAAGCCCTAGGGAGCTGGTTTGGATCCGCCAAGAACAGCATTTTGCCAGTCCAGGAGACACCTGATGGTCAGAAGAGCCTGAACAGTGAAGTGAAATAGCCAGCTACTCCAGGACATGGCTAGCACCCCAGCTTTCCCAGGTACCCCAAAGATGAGCAATGTCCCCCAGGTCAGCAGGAAGCAATCCTGAGAACACAGTGTCCTCATCCCTGCCTCACCCGATACCCCTTTCTAACTCACCTTTTTATAATAAAAGGGAGGAATGTTAATATTCAGGCATCTGTACTGGTCTGTCCTTGGGTTCTGACAGGATACACCCTCAGCTGCCGCCACTAAGAGCACCACCTGTGCATACTCACGATGTTCCCTTTTAAAAGGGCCATGCCCACCTCCCATCCTTCTCTTTCTGTCCCTCTCTCTACTCCCCCTCTATCCTAACTCTTCTCTGATGCTGATCTATCTCCAGAGGCTGGTCTCCCCTCTTCCCTTTCCCTTTTTATGGTCCCTCTGCTTGAGTGCCGCTTTTCCTAGATTATAACAGTTGCTTCCTGTTGCCTGTGCATCAAGATGAAGAACTGTCAGCCACCTATCTAGCACCATGTCTGCCTGCATGCTGCCTTGCTTCCCAACATGGACTAAACCTCTGAAACTGTAAGCCAGCCCCAATAATAGAGTTGCTGTGGTGGGGAAGGGCCCAGGCCCGCTGTGGTCATGGTGTCTCTTCACAGCAATAGAAACCCTAAGTAAGAAAATACACAACACAAATATTTAAAAGATTTAACAGGTGTAAATACAAAAAAAAATACCTTTAACCTCCAATTGTCTCCCACTTCAGTTTTGATTCTGTTTAGCCAATTATCATCAAAATATACAGGATCTCTGCAAGTAAAGAAAAACTGGATTAAGATCATGTAGCTACAGCCAGAGCTGTTACAGAGAAACCTTGTCTTGAAAAAAACAACAAAACAAACAAACAAAAGATCATGGAGGTATCATGCTTACTAAAATACCCAATTCCATCATATGTCATCATTTAAGTGAGCCATAAAAATATGTATATGCCACATGCCAGTCATTAAATAATCCATGAGACAAGGGGTAACAGCACATTTTCTAAAATCAGTTTGATTAGTTTTGGTAATAAATTAGTTATATAAAACATTAAAACATGGATATTTTATTTTAAACCAAAATGCACAATGTTAATATATTCTAAGAGTGATTTATAGTTGAATAAACAAAACTAGAATTGTTGATAGCATAAAACTAGCCAAAACCATTAAAAAGCAATGACATTATTTAAAAAAGACACACTATCTCAAAAAAGTCAAATGAGTCAAACAGGGTAGACCCTAAATATACACATCCTTATTTTTCCTAGGAAATCCTCCTATACTTTTATTTGGAAGAAAAACCAACCAACTAACCAACAACAACAACAAAAAGCAAAAAAACCTACCCAAACTTCTCAAAACTTACAAGTTTTTCAAACTGAAGCTATAAGAAATGATTTGTCCAAGACCTCATGGAACATCTGTTTGTCCTGGTTTAGCAAGTATTAAGTCCAAGATCTTCCCATACCACAACTGTATCTATTCAACCAAAATACAGAAAAGCGCTGGGACAGGGATGTTAGTGGGGGAGGGGAGTAATCTACATTTCAATTTTTACTGTAATTGAAATTGAATCAGTGATTTTATTCCAGTTAATTTTAAAACAAGTAACTGGCTACTTAGGATTAAAATTTTGTTACAAAACTAAATGCACTTATTTAGGTAATAAGCATATATAAAAGTTATAAATTCTAGCTATCAAAATAATTTTGAACCTACATTTAATCACTATATAACATTAACTTATCTATTTATCTTTCTAAAAATTCATTTTTATTATTTTAATAATGGGCATATATATGTTAATGAGTGTGCACAAAGAGGTAAGAAGAAGGTAGTAGATCCCCTGGAGCTAGAGTTATAGGCAATTGTGAACCATCTGATATGGTGCTGGGAACTGCACTTGGTCCTCTGGAAGAGTAGGAAGCACACTTAACTGCTGAGGTATCTCTCCAGCCTCCTAATTCATCCACTTTTTTTTTTCTTTAAACAGTGTTTCACTGTATAGCCTTGGCTGGCCTGGAAATTGCTATGCAGACCAGTCTATCCTCTAACTTAGAGAGATCCACCTGCCTCTTCCTCCTGGGTGCTGGAATTAAAGCCATGTACCACTACACCCAGCCATTTATCCACTTCAAAAAACTGATTAAGATATAGTTCACGTATCATATTATTCATTTAGAATATACAAATCACTTCAGAATACAATACTGACAGAGTTGCACAACCAACGGCATCATGTTAAAGTTTGTGTCTTCACAGGTGATGCAGATGACTCAGTGGTAAAAGCGTATGTTGGATAGCAGTGACAGCCTGAGCTTGGATCCCTAATACCCACATAAAAGCCAGGAACAGACACATGTGTCTAAACCAAGCATCAAGGGAGCAGGGTCCATGGGGGAAGGGGCTTGGGGGGGAGGGTGGAGACAGGTGGATCCCTTGGTTGAAACAGTAAGATCAAACAGAATAAAAAGTTATGAGAGTCCCTGTCTCAACCAAAGTATGAAAGCTATCAAGGTCAGACATCCAATGTCAACCTTTGCGTGACATCTACATGTTCATTCATGGAGCATGAGCACCCTCGCATTCAAGAGAGAGGGGGAGGAGAAAATAAGGTAAGCATTGTATCTACTAGCATCTTATTTTTTCCCACCTCTGGAAACTACTAATCTACTTTCTTTCTTTGTTCTTTGCCCTGAACATTTTAATGAACAAAACAGTAAACTATATCATCATTTATGTCTATTTCTCTGTTAGTATAATTCTAAGATTTTCCTGTAATGTTGCATGTATCAGAACTTGACTTCTTCTTGGATATATGGCCAAGCACCACATAGCATGTCCATCCATGATCAACCACAGTGAACCCACAATACTGTATGGTCTACTTTGTGTTAGCACAAAATGCATTTCTCATAAACTATCTCTATGATAAGTGACTACTACATTATGCTTATCCATTCACCAGCTTACAGATATTTGGGTAGTTTTACTTTTGAGCCATGTACCAGTTTTTATATGGACATGGTTCATTTGAGATGGAGTTGTTGAGTCACATAATTCTGTTTAATATAAAACTTGTCTGTGGTAGTTCATGTGTGTGTGTGTGTGTGGGAGGGGAAGAGAGAGAGAGAGAGAGAGAGAGAGAGAGAGAGAGAGAGAGAGAGGGTAGGCAGGTAGGTAGGTAGATGTGCAGGTGACCATGGAAACCAGAAGAGGGAACTGAATCCTCAGGTGTTGGATATAGGTAGTAGTTTTACACTGCCTAACATGGGTTTTAGGAACTGAACCCTGGTCCTCCACAAGAACAGCAAGCACTGTTAACCAGTGAGCCATCCCACTAGTCATCCTTTGACTTTCCTTTTAATTTAATTTTTTTATTTTATTATGTGGGTCCTCTTTCCCTCTCAGCCTGTTGACCACTAGGTGGAGAGACAAGAGGCAGTAGTGGCCACAGAAAGCTTTGTAGGCAGCCCATGAGCATAAATGGAGGGAGACCTTTGGGAGACAGATTTCGGTGAATCAGCTCAAATTTATTCCAAAGTATAAGAAATATATAGGACTGGGGATCCTGGAGACAAACCATAATTTGCATTAAATGGAATGTTCCTATCATAGGCTCCTAGCACAAGTCTTAGTTATCATATGTGCAGCAAGGGAGCCTTCCAGGAGGCATCTATGTCAGGGTTCAAGCTAAAGATAAGTTAGGCATCTGGTTTAGAGACAGGCATCTAGTTTAAATAAAGTCAGAACTCCAGGCCTAGGGACATTCTCCAGAAAGGGCAGGTAGAGGCAGGAGGCTCTGCTGGAGGGAGGGAGCCCCATGTTGTTGAGCTATTGAGATAAGCTGCCACGCTATGGGGAGATTGAGACTTCTACCAGTCAGCATAAATCTTCCAACACTTTATGTGTGTGAATATTTGCTTCAATGTATGTAAGTACACCATGTGGATACCTGGAGCCTCAACAAGCTAGAAGAGGGTATTCAATCCCCCTGGGACTGCGGTTACAGATGGTTCTGAGCCATCATGTAGGTTCTGGGAACTGAAGCAGCTCCCCCCCTCCAAGATGGAGCCCATCTCTCCAGCCCCTCCTTTTCATTTTCTTGATTGCATATTGTATATACAAAGGCTTTTAAGTTTGATGAAGTTCAACTTATCTACATTGTACTTGTGATATTTTTATCTATGACACTTCTGCCAAGGTCACAAGATTTATTCCTTTAAATTTTTTTTCCATTTTGTAGTTTTAGCTCTTATATTTGGGTCTCTGATCCATTTATATGCAATAGAAGAGAGCTAACTTCATTAACTGGCATGTGGACATCCATACTCATCTATTTTTATTTTATATTTCATTTGGTGTTTCTACGCAAGGTTTTGCACACCAAGAGAAAACAGTTTAGGAGGGAAGAAGGAGAAGAAAGAAGAGGAGGAGGAGGAGGAGGAGGGGAGGTGGTGGATGGGGAAGATGAGAGGCTAGTGAGATGGGCTTGATCTGGGGGGGGGCTGCTTCAGTTCCCAGAATCATCTGTAACCCCAGTTAGTACTTAAAAGATGGCTGAGCCTCTCAAATACTGGAATAAAAATCTACAATTCTTTCTTCTACTTTTCCCCCCACATCTACACACAATTTTGTCTCTGTGGACCAGCCTCTTCCTGTTTGTCCCAAAACAAAACTGTAAATGGCTATAGATATGTTCTAAGTCTTTTCAATTTCTAATTAAGACTGGCTGTTATTGGCTCATTATAAAACTCCAGCAAGCTTCAGCCAAAGTCTATTTTCATCCATGATCCTATTACATGTGGTTAAAAAGAGGATGGCTGTAAGTAGGACACATACATCACTTAGGGAAAGAAGCACTGCACCTGTCAGGGAGAGGTGAGCTCTCAGAGAAGTGGACTTCCAAGAACTGTGTAGACATGTCCCCCCTACAAGCATCCTCTTTGTTTAATATCTCTTAGAAAACAAAGGGATTCTACTATTACAGCAAAAAAATATTATATAGATCAATTCAGATGTTAGAAAAATTTAAATGTTATTTTTGACAGTTAAATCATCTGAAAGGTACAATTACTGGCAGTAAAGTAAATCTTTCATAGTCTGGTGTATGTGGTTGATTGCTAAAAGCCATAGGCACTGAACCAGAAAGTCCCTTTAAAAATGTTTTAATCTGGGCTGGAGAGATGGCTCAGATGTTAAGAGCACTGACTGTTCTTCCAGAAGTCCTGAGTTCAATTCCCAGCAACCACATGGTGGCTCACAACCATCCGTTATGGGATCTGGTGCCCTCTTCCGGTGTGCAGATATACATGGAAGCAGAATGTTGTATACTAATAAATAAATAAATAAAATCTTTAAAAAAATGCTTTAATCTACCGACTTTGCAAAAAAAAAAAAAAAAGAAAGAAAGAAAAAGCTTTAAAACACTGTTTTGGTTTAGATAAAGTAGTTTCCAAAAAGGTTTGTGTGACCGTTTGGCCCCCAGGTTGTGGTACTATAAATAGGTAATTATATCATCAGGGTGCTGAGTTCATCAATTAATTATGGGGTATTAGGAGGACTGATTAAAGAATGAAGATAACTGGTTGCAAGTCTTTGAAGAGTATATTTCCTCTCTGGCTCTTCTGACTTTCTGCTTCCTGTGAAGACAGCAACTTTGATCACCCATATCCTCCTGCAGCCACAATATTTTTCCTTACCACAGGTTTATAGCAGAAAAAGCAGACCATGAACTAAAACCTCTGGAAATGTGAACCAAAATAA